TAGCGAACGAACTTCATAATTTATAATTTTTTTTCTTAATTTCATTTTTTTTGCTTTTATGGAATTGTAATTTTATGTAGAAAGAAGACTTTGTGTTAGTACATGATTAACTCTAAGTTACATACGATTTATAGATATATTAAATTTATTGTATGACTGGCCCTAATTTCCATCTCATCAGTTACAAAAGCGCCGGTCAGACAGTTGCAGTAGCACCGGTCACAATTACAGTAGTGCTGGTCACAATTAGTAGTGCCGGTTGCTTGATTATTTGACGGGCGCTAAATTAGAAACCTTGCTACCGGTTACACTTAACAATTCTATTGTTTCAAAAATGATTTAGGCACACTTGTGAGGCATAATAAGCTCAATCAATTTAAATTTTTCAATTTTTTATATTTTAATCAATTTCCTTTCTCCCTAGAATCCTTGACATAATGTAAAACACTTAGCTATACCTTATTTGATTAAGAAAAAGAAAAATATCCTGTAAAACACCATATAACAACCAATACATTGGCTACACCAACAGAACATTGTTTTCAACGATTTAAGGAATATAACACAAGACACAAGTCATCATAACAACCCCCAGATCAATATGGTACCGGGTAGTCTAACACCTAAAACAAAATCCAACCCACACAATAACTTTTCCCAATTCACTCAGGATTCTGATCTACCCACTCAAATCCATTACCCAAAAGTACAAGAAAGCTATAAAATATACACACATGTATAAATATAGATGTTTAAACGCCCTTGAACATCTTGAAAAAAAAAATAGGAGACTAGACCAGCTCTGCCATTTTCACATTAATATACAACATTGAAACTAACCAAACTGGAAACACAGTGATAAACTGACAACACTACAGAAATCGAAGCACTCGCTCTGTCCAAACCAACCTCAACTGACAAATGGTCCTTGTTTATGGAAAAAGAAAGTCCTCCCGTTGTGACACTGCAGACACGTTGTCGTGGTCCAATCAACCAAGTAACAATGCTGGTGACCATAAGAATTTGTAAATATAAACTATAAATTAGTGATAAGAAGATAAATTAAGAAGACCCCTGAAGATGCCACTCTAGCTGCCGGATTGCATGAAACCAACATCATACACTACCTAGACTCAAAAATACAGGCAACAACAAAGGTAACTAATTAAAATGCTATGTTTTAGACGATCCAGAATGTAAAGATCAATACCACAACTGTCACCTAGTAGTACAAGCGAGGTTATGTAAGTACAAGTACTACAGAACTTCTTGCTGCCAGTCTTGCCACAACAAGCTGTAACTTGTGTTACCAACACGACGGCATGGAAGCTTCATTACCACGATGCCACTTCAGTGTTGAGCTCGTATCAGTTCACACGCCAAACTCATCATCATGTGTAAAATTGGCACCATTTGTATGACTTTGGTGGTACGCCATACGAAATGAGACTATTTCATTTTAAAACTTTCCTGATTGTTGATAGTTGATTTATGGCAGTTTTAAGTACTGTATTTATTTATGTACAGATTTGTTGTTAAGATTCTTGATCGGAACAAAAATATCTTTCTGCCACAACAGATATTATTAGTTGTTCTCTGATATATTTATGAGGTGGTATCCATATACAGTCTTGATCATCTGACCTTCAGTTTCGTCCATCCCTTCATGAGGAAAATGAAGTACCAAAGAATCAAGTTCTGTGCCTAATAGGGCAAATGTATAAATTCACCACGTATTTCATGTATATTAATTAACTTGAAATACTAAATGTTTCTAAAGACCTGCCCTCTGATTAAACTTTGAAATAGCAAGTATATCAATGCATGGTAAAACATTGAAAATTTCAAAGTGATTCTATTTGAACTTATCCTTTTTTAAACCCACGAATAATTAAATTACCAAGAGGAGACGAACAAACGTAGTTTCTCTTTGTTTTTTATGTCTGAATACGCAGTTTTTCCACATAACTCTGGGGGTGGGAATATTTTTCATTCATTTTTTGTACTTTTTCCCATTTAGGTAACAACCCCACAAAATCCTAAGAATCTCGTTTTAAATGGCAAAATATTTATAAACCCCCCCCAGACCCCATCAATTTCATTTGCAATAATCAAATTATCTAAATGAAAACTAACAGATTCAAAAATTACAGATAGTAAGATTCATTGTCAATCCTGTCTTGAAAGTTTATCTTTACATCATAAAAGTAACTTATTAAAAAAAAATTCAAAATTACTTCACTTTCTAATGCAATCTTGTACCATCCAATAAAAGCTCTGCTTACTTAGAAATAATTATATGTAAAAATTAATCAAAGCAAACACCAATTAAGAAGGGCATCAAGTAACTTAAGGACTGATGTATTTTCTTCAAAACTCTGCCATGAATAAATGTCTCTAAACAGCTAAGATATTGAATTTATACAGAAATTTTGTACATTTATATTTCAGTTTAGTTTGTGTATGTAGGGTTCTATTTATATTGTTAATATGTACATTGTTGTAATTGTATTGTCGATTGCTAATTGTCAAGTAGTATATAAGAAATAAACGAGAAGTATTATTAGATGTAACAGTAGTTCAGTAAAGAAATGAAACACTGCAGATTGTGATTCTCTGTTAGTTAAGTGGAGAGTATTCAAGCATCAAAACCATTAACTTAATGTGTAAATATTACGTAATCAAGCATCTGAGATGTAGATTGTTTCCTCATCAGTTGATAAAATTTTAAAGTTTACCAACTTTGTGTGTTTAATTTTTGTAAAATAAAATACTGGAGCTATTTAGTGTTAGATGAAAGTTATTCTTCCAGATAGGTGGGCTACCAGAATTCTGCTCTGTAAAAAATATTCTTGTGGATTTTTGAAGTTCTTACAAAGGCGCAGCCCATGTTTTTCCTATTATTTTTATTTCTATATATATATAAGTATTCTAGCTGTATATTTCCTATATGTATATGTCTTTCAAAATAGTTCTTCTCTTTGAATAAACTGTCGGTAAGCGCAAATGTTTCTTAGAGCCTTTTTCTACTCTTGGTCTTGCAGATGACATCATTGAAAAAAAACCACTACAACTAAAAATGCTTGTTTGAAGATTTATTGTTGGATTTGAAACATCATCCAGTACTATTTCTGTTAGCTCAACAACTAAGTCAAGATCTTTTTAATGTACAAGCTACAGTTTAAATAGTTATTTGTGTAACTAGTGGGCATAGTGGCACTTTGCTGCACACGAGAGCAATGTTTACGCACTCACCTGCGGCTCGTGCGGAATGATCTCGAGTGCAGCAAAGGCCTTTTGCACTCGTGTTACACATTATATTTTTCCTACAGTCACTATAAAGCATATAAATAATTAGTCTTTCAAACACTATACAGCACGTTTTTAGGTTCAGCTGGCAACACAAATGGTGCCCTAGAGAAAGTAGTACCCGCGGTCCGTATCACTCCGCTATTTTTCCTCGGCAAGAAATGTGCTCTGCGTTTTGAGAATATAGTTCCGTATGTTTTTGTAATTTGAAGTGGTTTCCGCGCCTAAAAATAATGCTTTTAAGGTATTGTCTTGTTTATTAAGATCGTAGGAATGTTTTAAAAATGTTTAAAAGAAAAGTTCAGAAATACCGAAACTATAAACACGAAATGACAGGTTAAATCGTAGTTAGAATAGTCAATCAGCTGCTCATAGTATTATTATCTTTAAGTGTTGCCAAGCTATTTCCAAGCGTACACGGATTGCGTGCACAATAGAACCACGCTGCCGTACAAATCATTATATATTTCCACCAACTAAAGGACTAAAAATCACTAGTCAGAACCTCTAAGAGAGGTTATATTTTTGTTTATAACCACTCATTGCCACGCAAATACAAGTATAATCAGCTGATTGGTGTCCGGCAAAACTCATTGCAGAACAGTAGTACGCAATGAAACCCTATTTGAATAAGCTGGCGGTAAACAGCTGTTTTCAGGACTAAATCCTTGCGTGGGAAGTTCGTCAAAATAATGTAGTGTGATATAACAGATCTGTGCAGTTTTTTTTTTTTTTTTTTTAGGTTAGTTTAGAACAGTATGACATAAAATATCGTAGGCCTACATCACTCATCAAAAATGTGTTTACCTTACTCGTCTGGTAAATACCAATTTTCCAGACTAGTAACATATAATTTAATATTTCATCAATACGTACTGGAAGACGCTATTTTCGATAACAGGTGATCAAAGAAAGTGTGAATGAAAATAAAAAGGTTACTTTAACCTGTAGAAAAAAAAGGTCTTGTAAAGGTAACATATTATAAAATGGCCTAAAAAACAACTGCAACATGAAAAGAAAGTGTGTTTCCCAATCTCTTTTTTAAAACAAACTGATTTTCCATTGCTCTCATAAGTTATAAGTTTTCTTTTTATTGCCCACTATGCATGCTAATGTTTGTTTGCCAATTATTTCTATTATTGAATCAGCTGCTTTTACTGTTGAAGTAAAGCTAAATAGATGTTAATTCTCCTTCAACTCACATTGCTCATAACCAGCATAATATACACTACACACATGCGTTGATTTTTAGTAATGATAGAAAATCTTATCCCTTTCACACATTATATGAACACTGAATGGTTACATGGTGGAAGGAAAAAACATAGGTGTGCTATTCCCACGTATTCTGACGTCACTCGGATTGCAAACAAAATATCACCTGATTGTAACTGTCAAATTGGTATGTATTTGTTTTGATTTTATTGTTTTTGTTTTTATTATTATGAAAACAATAACAACCAAATCAAAACAAATACATATACTAATTTGACAGTTACAATCAGGTGATCTTTTGTTTGCAATCCGAGTGACGTCAGAATATGTGGGAATAGCACACCTATGTTTTTTCCTTCCACCATGGAATGGTTAGGGATGAAAATTAATCACAATTACAGTAAAATCTTTTTTATTAAATAAATTAAGGTAACAAATATCCTTTAGTGGGACCTGTACATTTAAGAACACTTCAATATTAAAAACCACTTATTAAAAACATTAAACTTTAATCAAGCTCTTGATATAACAGTAAAACTATTTTTCAAAAAAAAAAATAAACTTCTACATAACAAAAAACAATTTTGTAAAATGATCAAAGTTACATACTAAAATTCTGTCAATCAGGACAATCCAACTTAAACTAGTCTGATGCTCAGATCAACGTAACAATTTTAAAGGAGATATAACTAATTTGTTTATACAGGGTGCGGCACGGGAACTTACTTATTTGAATTACGTCATTAGTCCTAGGAAGGCGGGGCCATGCGCAATCTGGTGGGCGCGCTATGAAGTTTTTCGTCCACTCAGTTCAGTCAGTTGCAACCATGCAATGGTCAAGAGAGGAGCGCACGTTCGCAGTCTCTGTGTACTTTTCTAGTGGCTGGTCTATCGTTGCAACCCAGCGTGCGTTTAGGAGGCAGTTTAATGTCGCGCCCACTGGTCGTGTTCCCGGTCGAACATCAATCGTTCAGTGGGTGAATACTTTTATGAATACAGGCAGTGTGTGGAAACAAAAACCAGGTCCTTCCAAAACCACTAGAACGCCAGAAAATGTCGAGAGAGTAAGGCAGGCGGTTTTGCAATCACCTAAGCGATCCGCACGAAAACATGCATCTGCGCTTAGAATTTCAGATCGCACAGTTAGGAGAATTCTGCACCAAGACTTAAAATTCCACCCTTACAAACTGGCAGTGGTGCAAAAACTAAATCCACGTGATTTTGTTTCGCGACAAAGGGCATGTGAAGCCATCGTTGAAAACTTGCCTAACAACGCACTTGTGTTTTTTAGTGATGAAGCACATTTTCATCTGTCAGGGTGTGTGAATAAGCAAAACATGCGATATTGGAGTGGTGTGAACCCCCGAGAACTTCATGAGAAGCCCCTTCATGCAGAACGAGTGACTGTTTGGTGTGCCTTATCCAGGACTGGCATCATAGGCCCATGGTTTTTTTAAGAGAACGATAGGGCACTTACAGTCACTTCTGAACGGTACATTCAGATGATTCAAGAGTTTTTCCTTCCAAAACTTGATGAACTTGGTGTAAGAAATGTGTGGTTTCAACAAGATGGGGCCACGGCTCACACAGCACGCGCTTCAATGGCTCTCTTGCGCGAACACTTTCCACAACCCCTGATCTCCTTTAGGGGCGATCTCCAGTGGCCAGCGCGCTCGCCGGACTTAGCCCCCTGCGATTATTTTTTGTGGGGATACTTGAAATCCTTGGTGTACACCAATCGTCCGAGGACCCTAGCTGAACTGAAGAACAACATTCGCGTTGCTATTGCTGACATTGGTCCAGACATGCTTGAGAAGGTGGAGCGAAACTTCCGATCTCGTCTGACAAAATGTATTGAACAGCATGGATGTCACCTACATGATGTAATATTCAAGAACTAAACTTGTAAGTAAACCCAACGAAACTTTAAATGATTGTTAAATTTGTAAAAAAGAAAGAATTAAAATGCTATCTTTAATACTTTTTACTTTGTGATTATTTTAAAAGAGTTAGTTCCCACGCCGCACCCTGTAATTAAAATTAACAGTTAAAACCACATTAAAATACTTTTTATTTGTACAACTGCAGCAATTTTACGTTTGGGAGCTCGCACACTTAATATTTGAACACATTGCTTACTTAAACCAGCTTGTATTTTGTATGCTACTAAAGATTGTGTGTTCGTTTTATTTAGCGACCAATAAAGATGGTTTGAAACTAAAGCAAAACAACAATCGACTTTTAGGATCAGCTGATCTTGTGTACAGTAAATCAGGAACATGCTAAAGAACAAATTCTATTCACTAGATTTCCTGGACAGATCTTTTTACAAAGGCTTACGCTACAATGTGCTAACAATCAAGTGGTAGTCTATCAAAGGCATTCAAAATTAAAAGAAACTGCTTTCAAACATCAATTTACAAAAAAGAATATGCATTTTCCAACGAAACTATCTTCATAATACTAAGGATTAAACTTTAACAGAACAATTACATTCATTAGATTGGCTTACTAGAATAACGATACAAATCTAAAACTTAATTCAACAAATATTTGTTGTTAAAAACATAAAAAATACTATTTAGTTAGTGGTATGTACAAAGTATGTTCACAGTTCATATACAAAATAATACAATATTCTATTTGCTTACAATGTATTTACATAAACTTAAGCTTAGTAGCCTACGTAACGAGTATTATACGTAACATAGAAATCAGGTACGGGTCCAACTGTTTTCTTAGCTCCATCGTAGAACAGTCGTGATGAAGTTTGGAGAAAGACAGTCACGAAACTGCAACATACATATCAATAGTATATTAATCTGCAAGGACGGAAAGTAAGTTTTTATAGTATACAAGTGTGTATGATGTTCCTACGTGAGACTTGCCGATCACGGAATTTAATTCAAATACCTTTAACATCTTTCCAGGGTATCACATTGCCACATGACCAGGTCACTTAACTCACAGGAGCAATCACAACTCTGATTAATACAAACTTTCAAACACAAAATTTTAAACTTTTTTACCTATTGTGTAGCTTTGCTTAATTAAAGCCTACTGCATTAACTCATATTAGGGCTTAAAAACATGTAATTGTTCAGTGATTTATAGATTTACTACATAATTTTTAAAAATCCAGATTTTACTGAGCCCTTTCTATAAACAATGACTTTTTAGTCAACAAAGAGTACAGATAGTAGTTCTTACCATATAGTCTTTACCATGTTGGAAAAAAAAATTTAAAAACTTAATACCAGTACATCTAGTTGGTGCTATGCGATCAAGATTTAACCGTCCCATTATTTATAATCTAACAAAAAACCACTAAGTGGTAACACTTTCCCCGCCAAGTCAGCAATCCAAAAAAGTTAATAAATCATTACTTTTTCCGCCAAGAAAAACAATGTAATGTATGTAAGTTTGGCAACTTGGCGGCAGACTTTTGCTTGGTTTTTTTCATTTAAGTTACGTTCGTGGATAATTTCACAAATCAACTTCTCTAATTAATTAGTCCAACTAAGTATAATTTATGAAATGTGGCACAAATAAGGTCAAATTTTGTAAAATAAGCTCTCACCTAGCAATGTACCAATGGGAAGGATACTTGCTCAATGAAACTAGTTTTATGGTATTTTTTTAAGGGATCGAGCAAAAGTCTGCCGCCAAGTTGCCAAACTTACATACATTACATTGTTTTTCTTGGCGGAAAAAGTAATGATTTATTAACTTTTTTGGATTGCTGACTTGGCGGGGAAAGTGTTACCACTTAGTGGTTTTTTGTTAGATTTTATTTATTTTTGTAGAAAATTAACAGTTAAAATAAAAATCCTCTTTTCTCTGATATATAGACCACGGCACAACTACATCTCATTTAATTTCAATAATATTGTTAATGTAGAACTAAATTCTACATTTTTGGTCTTATCTGCTTTAAACAGATTAAAAACTTTTTGACACACGTACCAAAATTACTATTTAACAAACCCACTGGGCTTAAACTCAGTTTCAAATTTCATCAATGCTCATCTTGAACAACATAATGTGTTGATGTTACATAAGTGTTCTAATAATTAAACCCGTATATCTAAAGACTAGTGTAAATTGAGCCCTTATTAGAGATGTAAAAATGTAATCAAACTAATTAGGTTTGTTAGAAATAGCATAAGGCAAAACAAATACTGAATAACTCATTTATCCTAAATTTACATATCACTTTTTAATTGCTTGTTTAACATATGTAGAGTGATTTTCCCGATCGTTTTATTTGTTTTAGTGTATCAAAACATAGAACAAACCTTAGTACTAGCGTACTAGTACTAAGTTTCAAGTTCCTAGGTTTCATATGTTTTGATAAGTAGTATTAAACTGTTAAAAATGACGAGCTGCTGTACCAGTGTACCATCGGTACACTGCATTTTTCAATGGAAAGTATCGGGGAATATCACTGCTCTAAGTAATTTTATATAGTAAGTAGTTCAAATCATTCAGTATACCTGAAAAAAATACTTTATAAAAGTATTAAAATAATTTTTCAGCTGTTCCTATGAATTTCTCTAACATTTAATTAATTAAGATTTAATCGCAGCTGGTCCTTCTTTTGTTTTGATTTTAATCCCATGTTATTTAAATGGGCCAAACTCGTACTTTGAGGGCTTGCCAAGGGTTTATGGGTCAACGCACCGACTTGAGACCCTCAAAAGGCACATCTACACGCTAAGGGCTTTCAAACAACATAAAAAACATTAAAATTGAGCCAGTGGTTTGGGCTGTAGGTCCGTCAACATTTAAGGAGAAGAAGGAGAACACGGAAAATTTGTGAATTTTCAAACTAGTTTTTCTTGGCTCAAACACAACCGTTTTTTAAATTCTTTTTTTAAATTTTGTTGAGAATGATTGCCCCTATCCAGTAGATGAACAATTATTTTAATATCTTTTGTTTCTTCAGAGCTATAGACGAGTAAAAAAGCCACTTTGTCACGTCATGTATATATACACTGCAGCAGCTGTGTACCGCTGGGGGACTTGGCGGGGCGGAACGCTGCCGCGTTCCTTAATAGAAGCATTATTCCCCCCTGAGAGGTATTCTTGCCTGGAGCTTAGGTGTTTCACATAAATGTGTTAGCACATTGCAAATTATTAATATCCCTCCGAGTGTCCATAGTTTAGGCCTTAATGTCTGCCTATTTTTGGCGCATTTGCAAGGTTTTATTAAAACGGATCTGAGAAGCTTAAAACAATGTTAATTCTACTGTTCTATATACCATTTTGTTTGGAAAACCATGGGCTTCAATATTATACATAAAACATAAGGAACATTTGTTTCAAAACAATTTTTTTAGGTAAAAAAAAATATTTTGGAAAATTTTCAAAAAAAAAAATAAGTTCGCGCTCAATGAAATTGTATAAATTATAGGCCTATATAAATATTTGAAAATAGCCACTTTGTTCTAAATTTTATGAGGATTACAAATATATAATAATATAAGGAAGTAGATTTGCAAATAAATAAGTTATGGGCAAAAAACAGATTTCAGTACATAGAGTTTAGCTAAGAATGCATAGCCTAACCATAGCTAGGAATCTGGCTGATAATTTACCTGTTTCTGTCTGTGATCCTAATTTGTAGTATGAGCTACCGGTTTCGAGGTTATAACCTCATCATCAGGCTTCTTGTCACTCTTGCGAGGTCGTCGAGTTTTATAAACACACAAAACACTGACATTTAAATAAATAAGTTACAAGACATTGACGGATACGATACGAATATATTTAACATAAAAAACTGGAACTAGTTCCCACACGACGCGGCACGGGTAAACGTTTTGTCATGACTGGGGTTGTGGCTGACCTTGCTGCCCCCTCCCGTTATCAGAACAATGCCGATGGTATTTTTGCCTCTCATTATTGTAGATGCGAATCGCTGCGTCGTATATTATGTTTGATTTAAATGATGTTTGTTCATTTAAAACTTTTTGGGGTTCTGACTTGATGGCTTTATATATTTCAAACTCTTCCATGCTGTTTAACAAACTTCCTTTTCTTGGGCAGAGATGTAGTATTTTTAAATTCTTCTCAAAACTTGTATAATTATGGTTTTCATTTATTAGATGGTTGGCGAATGTTGATTTCGAATCAGATTTTTTTACTGGAAGGGATGTGTTCTTTATATCTTATATGAAATGAACGAGATGTTTGGCCTATGTAATATTTTTCACAGTCATCGCACTGAAGCTTGTAAACACCAGTTTTGTCCTCCTTCCTGGTTGTTTGTTTATTATTATTTTCCTTCAACATTGAGCTCAGTTTGTTGTTTGCTCTAAATGAAACTGTGACATTGTTTTTCGCCATTTCCTTTTTTAATGTGTGATTGAGGACAAAGCCGTAATCAGCGGAAGCAAAACGTTTTCCGGGGGTGGGTGGATCGGTCTCAGTTTTTGTATTTTTATTTTTATGTCGGGTTACTAATTTGTCAATAATTGTGCTTTTATAACCATTGGCTATTGCGATGTGTTTTATAATCAGAAGTTCTTTTTTATAATCAGCAGGATTTAATGGGATGGATAATAGCCTATGGACCAAGCTGTTGTATGCGGCCATTTTTTGATTATAAGGATGATGTGATGAACAGTGTATTGTTTGGTCAGTAGCTGTAGGTTTCCTGTATATACTGAAATTAAGTTTTGAGTCGATCTTTGTGATTTTGAGATCTAAATAATTTATTGAATCATTATTCTCTGTTTCAAGTGTGAATTGTACATTTCTGTGGATCTTATTGAGATTGTTGTTCATTAGGTTGAGCTGTCTGATGTTACCATTAAACAGGATTATTATGTCATCAACATATCTGTGGTAAAACATTATTTTGTCATGGTAACGGTTGGCATTTGAAAGAATGTGTTGATTTTCGAATTTGTTCAAGAATAGGTCTGCTAGTATCCCAGAAAGTGGGGAACCCATTGCTAGGCCATCGCTTTGGATAAAATAATCGTTGTTAAATTGAAAATAATTCTGCTTCAAGACCAGTGTTGTTAGGTTGATCAACCTAACAACACTGGTCTTGAAGCAGAATTATTTTCAATTTAACAACGATTATTTTATCCAAAGCGATGGCCTAGCAATGGGTTCCCCACTTTCTGGGATACTAGCAGACCTATTCTTGAACAAATTCGAAAATCAACACATTCTTTCAAATGCCAACCGTTACCATGACAAAATAATGTTTTACCACAGATATGTTGATGACATAATAATCCTGTTTAATGGTAACATCAGACAGCTCAACCTAATGAACAACAATCTCAATAAGATCCACAGAAATGTACAATTCACACTTGAAACAGAGAATAATGATTCAATAAATTATTTAGATCTCAAAATCACAAAGATCGACTCAAAACTTAATTTCAGTATATACAGGAAACCTACAGCTACTGACCAAACAATACACTGTTCATCACATCATCCTTATAATCAAAAAATGGCCGCATACAACAGCTTGGTCCATAGGCTATTATCCATCCCATTAAATCCTGCTGATTATAAAAAAGAACTTCTGATTATAAAACACATCGCAATAGCCAATGGTTATAAAAGCACAATTATTGACAAATTAGTAACCCGACATAAAAATAAAAATACAAAAACTGAGACCGATCCACCCACCCCCGGAAAACGTTTTGCTTCCGCTGATTACGGCTTTGTCCTCAATCACACATTAAAAAAGGAAATGGCGAAAAACAATGTCACAGTTTCATTTAGAGCAAACAACAAACTGAGCTCAATGTTGAAGGAAAATAATAATAAACAAACAACCAGGAAGGAGGACAAAACTGGTGTTTACAAGCTTCAGTGCGATGACTGTGAAAAATATTACATAGGCCAAACATCTCGTTCATTTCATATAAGATATAAAGAACACATCCCTTCCAATAAAAAATCTGATTCGAAATCAACATTCGCCAACCATCTAATAAATGAAAACCATAATTATACAAGTTTTGAGAAGAATTTAAAAATACTACATCTCTGCCCAAGAAAAGGAAGTTTGTTAAACAGCATGGAAGAGTTTGAAATATATAAAGCCATCAAGTCAGAACCCCAAAAAGTTTTAAATGAACAAACATCATTTAAATCAAACATAATATACGACGCAGCGATTCGCATCTACAATAATGAGAGGCAAAAATACCATCGGCATTGTTCTGATAACGGGAGGGGGCAGCAAGGTCAGCCACAACCCCAGTCATGACAAAACGTTTACCCGTGCCGCGTCGTGTGGGAACTAGTTCCAGTTTTTTATGTTAAATATATTCGTATCGTATCCGTCAATGTCTTGTAACTTATTTATTTAAATGTCAGTGTTTTGTGTGTTTATAAAACTCGACGACCTCGCAAGAGTGACAAGAAGCCTGATGATGAGGTTATAACCTCGAAACCGGTAGCTCATACTACAAATTAGGATCACAGACAGAAACAGGTAATCTTATACCATTTTAATTTTCAAGAAGTGATCCTGGACCAAATAACATCATTATGATGATAATTTACATCAATATCACTACCTACTTCTTCAGGATCATCAACCAGCCCTTCAAAATCACTTAAATCTTCTTATAATGCACCACGTATATCACTACTTTTGATTTTTAACACTAAAACAATGATAAACGTAATAAAACACATCGGTCCGAGGGTAACCTAGCTGTTTACAAATACGCACGTCAGCTGTCTGCTACAATTACGATCGGCTCGGAGAACATAAAGCGCTTGGAGACAGACCTCTGGAGAAAGCTTAGAATCTAACGAAAAGAACGATACCTAACTCGATCCAGTTCAATCCGATTCAGTCAGTCATAGAGCCTTCGCCGTAAACGATGTTCGTGTGTCGAAAAATCGACGCGTGACACTACACAAAGTGTGTCGTGAGTCGATTTTTCGACGAGTGACGCTCGGAGGGTTAAATCACTAACTTTATTTTACATTAAAAAATTCAAAGCCTGAAATGTACACCTTCAATCATTAAATGTTACTGAAACTTAAGTGGAAGGAAGTGGGAAAAGTCTAACTCAAAATTCTAGGAAAAGGCCCCCTCCAAGCCCAAACTCCGTCCTGGAGCCACTCCTGGCTATTCTACTTATTGAAAGAATCTAACTTGCTCACTGTCTATTTACAATCACATATGGTTTATAATTAATAAAAAATGTGAATGATTTTTTTTATATCTTAAAACATTTTCTGTAAACAAAGTTAATAATACAGTTTAACAACTATTAATCAATTATATTTTCTTTCTTTAGGCCTATTTAAAACTACTCATTCCCATTTTCATACAAGTCCACAAGATAAAAATGTACTTACATCAATAAAAATTATTACCGGTACTCTAAAAAGAATGTTTACTATGGGAAATTAATGTTTATTATTTTATTTTTATTTTGCGGAAGTAGACAAAGATTTGTTATTGTTTTGTCAAGTGTTTTAATTTTCAACAACCAAAATAAGTACTTACTTTTAATTGAAGGCATAACCTAATAAGTGCTATGGGTTTGTAATGTTCCTAACTACTATAATAAAGAAATATACAATGTTGGTTTTATTTAAGAAAATAATTAGTTTTTGTAGTGTAGTAGCGAAAAGTAACTCGATAAATCTCACACTTCAAACATGGTCTCAAATATGTAATGATTTACTTTCTACTCTTGTTATGAAATATACTATTGTTTAATTGTTATTCATCTAGATATATATATTTTTGTTGAGCATTTATAACAGAGTTTGCCAACCTCCACAATTTACAGTGCTTTTACTAGCTTAATAATATGTTAGTTTTAATATAATAAATAATTAAAAGATCCTGTTTTCTGGACTGCTGGATTAGTGAAAATGATCTTTTGATAAGCAACAGGTTCGTAGATTGTTTTAAAAACAACAAAAATTTAAGAGCAAAATAAAAATATATGAAAAGTTTACTAACCTTAGTTGAAAAACTTCAACTTCATAGATGATTTTGGTACAGTAATTAGTGTTTCCTCGTCAGATTTTTCAAAAATTCATCGTCCAAATTTCCAATACTTGGTGGAAGTTGTGTAGGTTTGTTGGTCTGAAAGGATCCCATTCCACTCCCACTGGGAGGAACTGAACAAACGGGGGTGGACTGAACTGGATTTTGGGGAACTGAATCAACGGGAGTGGACTGAACTGGAATTTGGGGAACTGAGCAAACGGGGGTGGACTGAACTGGATTTTGAGGAACTGAACAAGCGGGGGTGGACTGAACTGGATTTTGAGGGACTGAACAATCAGGGGTGGACTGAACGGGATTTTTTTCTGTTTGGTTTAATACAGATGAATCAGCATGATTACCTCTTTCTGTTGAAGTTGAACTTGCTGTCATTTCAGTATTTGGTTGCATCCTTAGATTGGTACAAACTTCCCTTGGCTCTGTGTCATATTTCTTCAATAAATTTTCTATAAAGCAGAAGTTTGTAAGAAAATTTGTATCATTTTCCGAGTCAAAATATGCCAAGATCTCTGGCTGTTTACAACCGTGTTTTTCCAGCATAGTTTTGATTATGCTCCTTATTTTGAACCGGTAAGCACTGGTTATAGGATCGATAGTTTCGAGTTTTTGAACTATTCTACAATACACCGCGGTAAGCAATGCCTTGAGGTTATCACTATCAATTCTATTTACAATTGTCATGAATAGAGGAACAAAACTCTGAGCCCGGATTTTGATCATATCGGCAAATTCTTTTTCAGCTCGGAGTTTTTCACTGACAACAGTTTCTGAAGATAGTAACTGATTGATTTTCTTAAAGCGTTCTTCTTTCATGACGTCATAACTAATTAATAAGTATAAATCGTATGCCATTTTTGGGATTTTAAAATTAACAACATCAGTGAACAGCTTATCACATAGAGTAAAAAATAGTTTTTGTACATTTTCAGAAGAATCTGGCATTGTAACTACAGTTGCAGGGGTTTGACTTGATGCTTCACTGCTTTCAACTCTTGATGTACCCACTTCAGAAGGTAGGTTATGTGACCTAGGAACTTGAATGCGAATAAAATTCCTACTTTCCGTGTTGCAAACAGTTCTTTTGCTATTCTCTAGGTTCATACCTGATACTGTGGGCATTACTGCATTTACAGGCTTTATTAGTGCTATTGGTATAACTGGCACCAATAGGCCTACTGTGGGTTTTGATTTGTTTGAATTATTTTTATTGACTGAATGAGGTGTTTTTGGGGTTTTTTGATTTGGCCCAAATGGTCTAAGAGGGTTGGCTTGTCTGGGCTGGGCTTGTTGATTTATATCACCTGAAAATTTCTTGTCCTTTTTATTTTCTGATTTTTTGCTTTCTGATTGAGGACTATTTTCTATGGTAGGCCTATTTGAAGTAGGTGTGTTTTTGTTTTTAGCAGACTTCTTGCAACTGGAATTTGAATTTTTAATGCGAAAACTTGCTTTTGCCGGCAACTGGCAACCTAGCAGTTTTTTCGCTTTTCCCTTTTGCTTATCAGGTTTGCTTTGAACTTGAGAAAGATTTTCTGTGGTAACTCTGTTTGAATTAGGAGTATCGTTAACAGGTTTGTCGTTGCTGGAGTTCAAATCTTTTGAGGTACTTTGAGAATTATTTGTGTGAATATTTTCACCAAAACTGGGATTTGCAGTACCATCGTTTTGAGCTAGGGATAAGACTTCAACAATAGTAGGCATTGGATCAGGAGATGCATTTAAATTACTGTTAGAATTTAACTCAGCAGGTTTAGTCGGTAGGCTACAAACATAATCCTCTCTTCCTGGATGTATTGCCTGTTGATTTGTATTATTTGAATATGAAGTTTCTGTCTGCAATATCTCGGACTCTTTGTTTTGAGCCACAATAACTGGATCCATTGACGTGGGTTTTAGTGCATTTTCAATTTCTGGGTTGGGAATAACGCCTAATTCTAATAAATTCCTCACCCTAATTTTTCCTACACTGTTTGATGCTGGTGGACCAGGCTTGGAAGGTGTTGTACCTGTATCACTGCAAGGGATTTCTATGTGATTATCAGCATCTAAATCTCGAGTGTTGGTTTCCTTGTCATGTAGCTGTCCACTTTCAGAATCACTAGAATCTGATAGCACGATTACATCAGTGTAGACAACATTTTCTGGTGTTTTCAAAAATGTTTTGCTGTCCATATTTTTCTCTAGGGTAGGCATATTTGTTAACGATGATGGCACTTCTGGATGTACCAATTGGTTTTCCTTTTCATAGGGTTGTTCCTTTGAGGTAACTTTAGTACACAAAACTCCTGTAGTTAATAAACGTTTTGGTTCCTTGATAGAGTCAACATGCGCTATACTTAAATTCTTTACTGTACGAACTGAAGAGTCTGAATCTGCCGTAGAACTAGATTTTGTACTTTCATCACTGCTATCAGAAGAACTATCATCAGATGAACTTGAAGAAGACGAACTTGTAGTGGGAGAAACAGGGGAAGTTTTCTTTGGGGATTTTGCATTATTTTCAACATTATCACCCTGTCTATCACAATCATTTGTCCCAGGTACGTCTTTTTTAGAAACATTGCAAATTTTGTTTGCATTAGATGGTTGTTTTGCAGATAATCGAAACTCTTCACCACAAAGTCTTATTCTGATTCCTTTAGGATTGTTATTTTCTTGAGAAGTTTTACAAATTTCACCATTTCCCCTTGACGTAAATGGAGTCTGTGGTCTTATGGACCAGTTGTCTTTTTGGTTTATATTTTGAAGGGTGTTATTTTCATTAACAATCTGAGGGTTTTTACAGGAAGCAATGGTTTGTCTCTCAGCAGTAAGGCCTGAGTCTTGAATTATGGAATTTTTATTATAATGTTTTAACGACAGGTTGTCAGATTTGTTATTTTGAAGTAATGTAGTGTGGTTACTTTTAAGGTGTCTATTGGCTTCAGATTTTTCAGATGGTGTAGAACTATTTTTAAGATTGTTTACAACTTCATCCTGTGATATTATAAGTTTACCCATATAATCTTCTTGAGGAGCTGAGTAAAACGAAACTAACTTTTGTCCACCACATGATACAGATGAGGAACCACAAGAGTTTTCATTGATTTTTTCCCCTTGGGGCTTAGGGACTTGAGATAGGTTCTGATTACTTCTTTCCAAACGACTAGTTTCAGTCCGAACGGCTGGTTGATTGGTAATGTTGATTCCCGTAGCAAAACACAAAGAGTTGTAGCTTGGGTTAGGAATATTCCTAAGTGTTCTATTTGGATTACTCGCTTCAGTCGTAAGTTCGTTGGCTTGAGGAAGATTCTGATTACTCCTTTCTAAACGACTAGTTTCAGTCCGAACGACTGGTTGATTGGTAATGTTGATTCCCGTAGCAAAACACAAAGGGTTGTAGCTTGGGTTAGGAATATTCCTAAGTGTTCTATTTGGATTGCTCGCTTCAGTCGTAAGTTCGTTGGCTTGAGGAAGATTCTGATTACTCCTTTCTAAACGACTACCGGTAGTTTCAGTCCGAACGACTGGTTGATTGGTAATGTTGATTCCCATAGCAAAACACAAAGGGTTGTAGCTTGGGTTAGGAATATTCCTAAGTGTGCTATTTGGATTGCTCACTTCAGGCATAATGGATCCAGAATTTGACTTTATTGTACCATACATCCTGATTTGTGGGACTCCTACTGCATTTTGAGGTTGTCCACACAAAGCCGGTGGGTAAGTACCTGGGGGAAACCATCCAAGCTTATCCTGTGAAGGTCCCGTCTTTTTAACTGGCACTGATTGGACTTTAAAAGGGTTGCTATCCATCTGAGACATAATATTTCCAAGAACATCACAGGTTGTGGAAGAACTTGATGTAGATTGTTGCTCTTCTAGTGACTTGTTGTCTGTAGACAGTTTCTTCTTATTTGATTTAGAATGTGGTGGTTTATGCCTACTATTTTGATACAATCTATTATTATCATCAAGTTTGTTTATCTCTCTGTGGTGTGCTTGGCGTATTTTTTTTCCAAACACAGAAGGATTTGTGCTACTAACCGAAGTTGAAGTTGTTATATTAGGTATTTCAGCACTATTTTCACGATTATCCATAAGGCTATCTTTTCTTGTTTCTTGATTAACTGATGATTCAGAACTAATTGTTTCTTTTGCATCACATGATATGCTTTCAAATTTACTGTGTATTTGAGATGTACTTGTTGAAAGTCCATCATTAACTTGAACATCACAAGTGGTCTTGTTTTCATTACCTACTCCAAAATGGGTTTTGTTTGGCTGGTGTTTCGAATTACGCCTTGGTGGATTTGCTTTACTCTTATTTGATTGCCTCTGTTGTATTTGCTTGTATATTGCGACTGAAGAAGCATTGGACGGCACAAACTTTCTTTTCAACTCCTGAACCTTTGATTGTTTGTTATTCTGAGATTTGATGTCAGCTATGCTAGTCCAGGCATTCGCATTACTCAATGGTTTTATTGGATCTAGAAACCTAGAATTGGTTTGAGATGCACATTTATCAGGTTCAGGGGAGACATTTTCCTGTGTGCTTCCTGCAAGTTCCTCTGATTGTTTAGAGTTCTCAAGCAAGCAAGCATTTTCAGACTCTTCATCATCACTGGAGGACATTAAATGAACACTTCTGTGATTTTTTCTCCTTTTAGTGTCCTTTGATTGAGTGTCTTTTGGTTTTTCTAAGTTACTCAGTGGCAGACTAGATTTTGTTGATTCTTCTTCACTGCTTGAGCTGGTGGACAAAATATGTACCCTTCTGTACCTGGTTGGTTTGGTTTTGATTACAAATACATCTTTATCTGAGTTCTCTGAACTGGAATCCAGGAATCTACTGTTTGACGGATTAAGTTGATCATTCTCAAACAGCTGTTCTTCTAAAAGACAATCTCCTTTATCTACACTGGGTCTAACCTTGTCAACGATTCCTGAGCAATTAATTAAAGAGTTTAAAGCTTTTTTTAGTTGCTTCCTGTTCGTCACCTCATCTTTCGAAACTCTAGATTCTTTATGGGGTTTCTTCTTAGTTGCAGAATCTTTACTTCTGGTATTTTTTACAGAATTTATATCCGACTTTTGTTTCCTCTTGGTATGTTTGTAACTATGATTTTTACTATTTCTATCATCTCTAGATTCATCTGAAGAAAGAATAGATTTTTCTTCCCTTTTTACTTTAGGAACTTTTGGGAAACATTTAATTTCTATCTCATCTTCACTACTGTCACTGCCCAAATAATATGGGAATCGCAGGTAGACTTTATCTTTATCAAAAGTGTTAGGATTCAATCCTCCGTTAGTTGATATTGTAGATAAATTATCTTCATCGTCAGATGAAAGAACTGACAAATCTTCCAACCACTTTTTCCTTTTTCTGGATTGATCCTCCTCTGGTTCATTCGCCATCCTGAAAGTGTTATTTTATTAGTAAACAGTTATTAGAATAAGTACACAAATAATTGCAGACACAATTATTCAATAAATGAACTATCAGACTAAAAATTTTGAACTAAATATCTACATTCTAAAAACATTCCAGATAATTGTAAGGTGGTTCCTCAGGTACCGTATAGTCCTTTAGTTTTAAACTGTTACTGGCAGAAACAAATCATTTCTGTAGCAGAAATCATGCAGAATAATAAAATAAACTGTTCTACGATTTAATGGTAACTGTAATATTCACAAACAAGATGTTGGATTAATTATACTTAATTTTTCTCTATAAATGATAAATAGTCTTGAAATGAGGTAGGCCTATGATATTTGTTTGAGGGGTTTAAACAATATCCAAAAAGCTTCTGGACTTTGAAAATAATTAATTGGGGACCTCAAAGTGAAAAAGTAAATCGGTCCCGGGTCTAGGTCTTACCATGAGACCTACGGTAAGAGCTTATTCCCTATATGGGAAATTCGCAAAAACTGTGGAAAAAGTAAGTAGATGCAACAATTTCTAACTTTCTGTGCTATAATCAGTGCAAGAAAGGCCACTTTGTCAAAAGAATGTAGGAAAAAGATATTTTGGTTTTATCCTTCCAAACATATGTTGGGAAATAACAATTCCTTTACGAAGGTCCATCATTTTAGTTACCATTTTGAATCAGTATTTGACAATAAAAGTAAGAATTCCTATGCTTGTAATTTAAAATGGACTAATGGGCTAGGATGAATGTGTCATTATTGCATCCTAATGCTATTTCTTGACTGATGACATCTGAACCCAAATATTCAAATATAACTTAAAACTATAGTTGTCTCTTAGGCCTAATAACCCTGGACTTTCTCATTAGAGAGAGCTATCCAAGGCCAATTGGAGTAGTTTTTCCCCTGGACGAAATTGAACATATGTTATAAAAATCATAACTAAGAGAAAAAGCCATAAAACTAAAATATTTTTTTAAGAAATGAGGGGGTTGAGTCAATAAAAATGACAGGGCATTATAGAGTGAAATCTCCATTAAAAATTCATTACCATTTTAATCATATATTTTACAAATTTACTGGATTCACAAATTAGGCTACTTCCCGCAGGAGGGGGAGACTGAAAAAGATTTTACAGGTTTTAAATTTTATTGTTTGTAGAGGCATTTCCTTAAAAAACAATGTGTTGGGGAAATGAGGAAGAAAGTTGCCTATCTGTATAATAGCTTAAATAGTTTTGAACATCCTCCTAACATGTTTTTTGAAGCTTTTCAAACCATGTCAAACCTTACCTCTTCAGATGCCGTTTTCTTTCAGTATTTTTGGTCTTGTTCGACGATTCATCAGTAGCATTTGATTTTTCTTTCAAAGCGACATAAATCTGAAACAAACCCAAAATGTTTTATTGCAGTGGTGTAACCTAGAGAGGAGGATGTGTGCCTCAAGCCCCCTTTTGAAATTTTGTAAACATAGGCTATTTTGAGAAGCATATGAAGTATTATTTTCCTGTAAAAAAATCAATAACTTTACATTTTAATAGTTGAAGATTAAAACAAAATTTTAGGGTTTTGAAAAAATTACGAAATAGGTACCTTTGTTATTAAGTTATAGTTTACCCCAGTACATTCACCTAGATTACGGACACAGAAGATTTTACCTTATTGCTGTTAGGTTATGTAGAATTATGTCTAGATCATAAAACTGTATTATTTTCCCCCGTCACTCTTAAAGGAAAATGTGATTTTTTTTTCTTTTTTAGGTAATGGATGTCATGTTTACATTTGCCATGTTTCACAGATGGAACTGTTTACATTTGTGATGTTTGACGGATAGACTATACAAAGTGCACTCTAGTGGATACCCTATGGATACAACCAACCGGAAAAGTTAAGGCTGTCCCAATTATTAAATTACCTGCCATTTTTAGCTCAACATATTTAAGCCTACCTCACAATATTCAGTTCCCAATGTAGCCTACCTATACTATTCTTCGGACATTATAAAATTAATATTATATAGTAAAGTTATGGATTTACATGCCTTATAAAGTTATGCATTTACATATCCTGTTTATATTTTACAACAAATAACTTATCAGGCCTACTTACATATTACTAAAAGACTCGTGCTAAAAGTACAGTTCTCCCAGATAGGATAAGGGGGAATGAAGATGAAACAACGGCTCAGTGCCCTGACTACGTTAATCTTGCCCATCCTCATCAATCCTCATACCAGATAAGTTAAGTGACTGGGCCGTGAAATTTGTGCATTAAGTCTTCATATTATATGAATAATAAATGAAGATGAGATAGAACAAAGTATTCTCAGCAATATGCAATATAGTTAAGCGTGTGAAATGTGGTGGAATGTGTTCAATTGTGTAACGTTATTTTTCTGGTGAAACCCTGTAAGTTAAGCATCCATCCTTCTTAAAGAATTCTTGATCTTTCATACTGTAAATTAAGAATTCTCAATCGTTATTCTCAATCTTTGTTACGGTATCGATATGAACATGTTTAGTAATATAATATTTTATTTAATGTAGGTTTGACAATGCTTATTCCATGTACAATTTGGTCAATGGCAATAAACTTTCTTATTCTTACTCTTAGGCCTATTCATCTAAAGAGACCACTAAGCTAAAATTATAACTGGAGGTAGCACTGCCAAGTGGCAGAAGTCTGTCAAAAGCGTGTCGCTGATTTTGTTAGGTTGGTAGGCCATAGCAGTGGGTTTTCTTATCATAGCAATAACACGGCTTCTTATAACTAGGTTGGTATAGCAGTGAGTTTTCTTGTCATAGCAATAACATGGCTTCTTATGATACCCGCCTCACGCAAACACGGCGGCTGGCGACACGCTTCTTTGACATTCAGTGCTATCTCCAGCTAGAATTATAGCTCAGTGGAAGAGACAGAAGACTAGCAGCCTACAAGGTATTTAGATGGATACATTTACATTCATGCAAATTTTTAACTCCTGCTTATCTACCTCCTGAATCCTAGTAGGTACCTACCCTAATTTTTAACGCAAATGAATATTTCTAGCTGATCAAATATTATAGCCTAATTTAAGTTATGTAGGGCATCTGTCAATCAACAATGGCGTCATTACACTAACATAAGCTTTTTTAGCTAAAATAAGTGAAGGTGAAGTGAAGCAAGCTGAGAAATGATTCGAAGATTTAAGAATAGCCCTAACTTATTTTTGATTAAAATAATTGACTAGGCTATAAAAACACTTCTAAAGTGATTCATTAGTCAATAAACTTAAGGGGAGACTGAACCTTTTTTGTCTTAAAAAATTAAATTTTTGTTTTTCGTCTAAAATTAATCTCCGTTTCTTCCTGATTAAGAAAATATATAATACTTAGTATATTTAAAAGCTTCTTATGATAACAATAAATAAACAAAGCTAACTCTTCCGAGGTTTCGGCCACACTATTCTTATGGCTTTGAGTGTGTGCTGCAAAGCTTTTAAGTGTGTTTTCCGAAAGTTAGTTTTTTTATCTTTAGGTACACATAGTTCAAAATCTGTAATACATAGAGACTTAAAATTTTGCATGCATTAGTCTGGGTACTTGGTGAGAACATTAAACCAATCATATATTGATTGGTTATAAATTTTCATTTAAAAAATAATTTATTTTTATTTTTAGAATATCGCATAAAAATTTGTATTTTTTAAATGATTGAAAATAACTTTTATATTGATATATTTCTTTAAAAAGTGGTTTAACATAAAGATATGGATGTGATAATTAAGTGTGCAAAAAATCAGTATGATAGGTTTAGTAGTTTTCGTGCTATATGTACTTGAACTTGTAGAAAATATCCATTTAAAAAGCATTGAACCAGAAAAGGTACAGTCTCCCCTTAAGTTTCCTTTAAAGAACATTTCGTCTTATTAAAGGGAAATGGGCTGACTGACCACTTACACCTAGGCCTAGTCCTTATTTAGGCATGTTAGGATGGGAGGTTACTTTAGTTCTGTATGTTGATTCGAGGCTGTATTAAGATAAGTGTTAGTGTTTTGAAGTTAGGTTAGATTAGGAAGGTAAAGTTTAGGTTACAATGAACCAAGTTGTTAGTTAATGTTATCTCCAGACTTTTATAATTAAGTTATAATCCTAAGTTATAATTAAAACACTGGGCAAGACACTGGAAAATACTATTTTTAAAAAAATCCAAGATTAGTGACCACTAGCCTAGGCTAAAAACGTTAATTTTTATGTTAGGCTTGCCAACAATTTAAGTTGAATCAAGTTTTCACTGAATGAATACATTTTAGTCAACATTTGCAAATAGGAATAACTTAGGCCTAAAACTGACCTTTTGTAACGATAAAATTGAAAAATAGGCCTATTTGTTGTGTTCTATGGTTAAGCTATAGCCAATCGTCTCCTTTTGACTACTAATTAATTTTTGATGTTATGTTGTTAAATCTTCCATGATTTCTGTGACAATTAAATAAGTTAGGTCTTGTTAACTTAAAAAAGTATTCTATCAAATGCAACTAGCAATAATAATAAATTATGAATTATTACACAATACAAACACAACCTCAATTTCACCACAACACACACACTAACTAACAACAAACAAAACAGAAAACAAAAACAATAAGACGAAAACAAAGGATAAAATCAGCTGCTTATATTCAGTGTGTCCACACCCAAAACCAAAATCTTGTTTTACTTATTCTTTATATGTATGTATTATGGAGATTATCTGCCTACCTACAGAGGGGAAAAAGCCCGTTTTATCACATCCCTAAGAACAAGGCGCATGTTTAAAATTTAACTGACGAATAAGATAACTTAATGTACAAAATTGTATAATGATGTCAATAATCAATAATCAATCATTAAGATGGGGACGACACTTAGGTGCGTATTTTAACCCAAATATGAGCGAAGAATGAGTGTAGAATGGTGTGAGATGATCTGTGTAGCTTTGTTACTGACTAAGATCAGCTGTTTCATTAGCCAGGATCATTTATTTAAAGCCCAATGATCAGGAACAGCTGGGTCCAGTTTCGAACCATCAAAAAGCTACTGACTTTTCTCAGGAACGAACCGGCGACCTTTTGATTAGTAGGCACTATAACCACTCAGCTACCCAGCCAGTTGTACGGTAATACTCTTTCATACTAACTTGAAATATAAACACGGTTCATTTCACCTACATTTAAATTTATGTTTAGGTTTGAACGCCTCAATTAATCCTAAACTTTGTTTCTTCACTAAAAACAGTGACATTGAGTCTCTTTGTTTCCGACAATTATAAAGTTTTACACCAATTTAACTCTGATTAAGTTAAATAGGTTAAATCCAGAGACAAGACATAAGGCCCATTTAGCCCTGGTTAATTTGATAAAAACGTGCCCTAGAAATACCACCGGACATATGGAACATACTTTTAACATGCAGTATGTCAGAGCCTTACAAATGGAGGACAAGGCAAATTATACTTGATCTAAATGCATTATGCAATAGCAAAGAATAACTGAAACCTGAAACTGAACTTTGGACTTCCGCTATACCGTAGATGCACTCTGTGCTCTGTGTGTAGATGCAAGCCTACATCACAGAGAACATTACTTCTCTGTGCCTACATTAAAAAATATTCATACCGGTTGTTGGTGAGAAGAATAAAAAAAAATCAATGCCTCTTTTCAAAGTTTAATATTTATTAGAGACGTAAAATTGAAATTAATTCAGAGCGTGATAAGATAATGATTATTTAGTTCCTACGATAACTTAAACTTAATGTTAATTAATTAATATTTTAAAGTAAGTACTTACCATTCCTTCCTGAGGTAGACTCCAAGTTCACAGCACAAACACAAACAAACTGAAAAGAAAGAGGCTGTGGAGCCGCAATATATAGCCTCAATTCCGCGCATGCGCAGTAACAACTTTCAGCTTCAGTCGCTCTTCAGCCTTCGTCCTAGTCTGAGCTGAGCTGGAACAATGGGAACAGAACAAGAACTGGCTAGCAGCTAATCACCAACAAGTTGAGTAAAGTGAAAAGTGATCATAAGATCAGTCTAGGTTGACTCCGATCCGCGAGTGGAGTGAACTCAACACTGTAATAGCAAATGGGGCGGGGCGGGGAAACTGGGAAAGAGACCAGGAGCAGGCTGTCTGTCATTCTCTTCTACGATTTTTTATTTTTATTTTATAAACAAACAGACTGTCGTTTGCGTTTCATACATTTAGGTTATGTCATGTAATTCACTTATTATTTTGAAGCCACTAATGTCAGTGTCATATCTCTGTTTAAACACTTTCAAGTAATGGCAAAGTTATTTTCAAGAATCTTTTAAGTTAAACCTTAAAAATGGTTGTTGAAAAATATAAATTTCTTGAAAAATCATCACAAACCTTTTCTTGAAGTGCTAAACTTATAAGTTATAGGCCTACCATTGAGTATACACAATCCTCCTTCTTAGCTTAAGCTTAATTCTTCAAAATAATTCTTTTAAAAATGTTTGCGTTCAAAGAAACTCCAGGTTACATCCCTAATTTTGTCAAGGGAATTTTGGATGAAATCGCTTTAGAAGGTCTTGACGGTATAACTCCTAATGGTAAGTTAAGCCTACAGTAGTTGAAACAAAAGATAACATGGTGAAAGCCTAGGCTTAGGCCTACCTAGAAAGCTTGATTGTGCCCATAGGGGTATTTTATAAATGTGAATATAGGCCTTAGGCCTAATTATTGTGTATAATTCTTACAAAAGTGTAAGTTAACAGGTGCAATTGTCTCTAGCCTGGGGTAGCGGATTTCTACCCCCGGATATTTACCCCCATGAAAAAACGCCTACGTCATTTTGACGTCACGAGGGGCGGGGCCTATACACGATCAAGAAACAGCCCGCGACTGGACATCTACCCCCGGAAATCTACTCCCGTGGTTAGCTACGCTACATATCGGCCAAGATGCATTGTTGTAATTTATTTTATTAATTGCTTTATGTAAATAAACGGCTCTTTGTTTATTCTTTAGCTTCTAATACCCAGTATAAAGCTTGCGATATGTCGTTGTCATGTTTAAGATTATCTATCTTCCTAATTCAATAAGCTGTAACAGTCCATTTTCACCCGACCTACTTCGTCGTTTTCTAAGAGGCCGAACTATAGTCATCGATCTCTATTACTACAGAGATCGATGTCACTAGTTAACATTTAAGTTTCAATCTGGAAACGATCACTGATCGAATAAGTTAGGTACAGTTTTTTACATATTTAATTTACGTTGCTAAATAAGGTTATAACAATTAACATTTATCTTATGTTATTGGGATTAAAACAACTACAAGATCCTGCAGTTTTAAAAAACTAAGTTAGGTATTCTGAAATCAATATTTTTTTCCTAAATAGCCTATGCTATTATGTATAGGCTATGGTTTCTTATTACCACTTGATGATATCATCGTTTTGGTGACACACCTGTTGTGTTGGCAACGACTTGGGGTATATTATTGCCCAAGAAGAATAAAGTAACTAGGCCTATTTTCGTTTTACAAAAAAATTTAATTCGCATAATAGGGGTAAGCTAATGAATAACCGAAGAGCCGTTGATTTACATAAACAAATTAATGATATCAATTACAACAATGCATCTTGGCCGATGCGTAGCGTAGCTGACCACGGGGGTAGATTTCCGGGGGTAGATGTCTGGGGGTAGATGTCCGGGGGTAGATTTCCAGTCGTGGGCTGTTTCTTGACCGTGTATGGTACAAAAATATTAAAACATTTTTTTCTTCAATATTAGTTGACTTAAAAGAACAATCTTTACACAAAAATAAAGCACTTTTAAAACACTTTTAATGATATTTTTTTCAAAATTATTAACTTATATTTAAAAGGCCAAAAACCGTTTGTCCCGCTTTATACCACTTGTCCCAACATGTATGCCGACCCTGGTACAAGGTGGGACAGCAATATGGTACAAAGTGGGACAGCATATGGTGCAAAGTGGGACAATAAATTGTACAATGTGGGACATCCTGTTATGCATAGGAGGTATACATAAATAAGACAGTTTCAGACTTAAATTAAAAAAATTATTGATATGTGACTTTTAAAAACTTATAGTAGGCCTACATAGTTAGTAATTAAACTAGGCTATATGGCTCGTAATTGCTCCATCTTCTGCATGCTCCAAAAACTTCTTGCGGCAAATCTTCGGCATTATGGACCTGAAAAAATAATTTTTTTTTGTAAAATTCCACTATAATGTTCTTTAATGAATAACTATGATATGAATGAATACTTAAGTCTGTATTTTAAGAGTTAAATGTGGGTCTACTTTGGCATAAAACCGACCCCGCTAAAACTGTATTTATGTTATAAGTAGGTAAAAAAGTAGGAAGAAATTGTTTAATTGAAAATATAACTATTAAACAGTTTAAAAATACCTAGGCCTAACACAAAATTATGACAATAGTGATGTTTCTGGGTAAACCGCGTTAGGGTTTACCGTGAAAAGTAAGTTAAGGGTTTATTTTTTTATTTAACAAACCTAGGTCCTATTCTAGGTAACCTACCAAGCAGATGAGGCATGTCATATATTTATATGGGCATGCTTATATTTATAGCCTATTATGAATTGCTATAATAGTATAATAAATCAATTATCATTGCTTGTCCCACTATGTACCGATTTCCCACGTTGTACCACCTTATTTAACGTTGTCCCACTATATACCACAAATAACTGTCCCAACTTGTACCACATGTAGGGTTATATTGTTTTTAAGTTTTACTCCAAACAGTGCAGCTCAGACATCCCTGACCTCCTTCTATTGAACAAAGAAGGTTTTTTAATGTTAGGCACATCATATTTAACCTGTTTATCGATCTAATTTCATAAGAAAATGATGATTGCTTACCTCAAAAATGTAACTTTTGAGACTATAGTTGTAGCAGGCTGTCATTCAGTACTTTCCAACATGACTGAAACTTCATAACTTAAAACACACTGTTGGCCTTGACACAACACTTTTGGAGGGAAACTGGCCACATGGCTTTGAAGAAAAAAAAGTTATATGGAATGTCCCACTATATACCGTGTCCCACCTTGTACCACTCTCCCCTACCCTAGGCGTTTTTTCATGGGGGTAAATATCCGGGGGTAGAATTCCGGTGACCCTCTAGCCTAAATATAATATTCCTATCAAACAATTTAACTTACTGGAAGTTACAAGTAAGCCTAAGTAAGTACAGTAACTTAGCGTAGGTCTAGCTTAGGCTACCATTTATTAACAGCAAAGTAAGTTAGGCCTAGGGCTTAGTGTCCATGAACAAAAATAATTGAAAAAACTTTGATAAGCCTAACTTTGATTCCGTTATTGAACCACTCTTCCCATACTGATCAATAAGTATTCAAACTAGCCCTAAAAAATCTAAACCGCCATGCCACAAAGTTTCTAGGTACTTCTAGGTATTAGGCCACCCTTATACTGTACAGCGTGCTGTGGCGGTTATGTTTGGTTGGGTTATCATAAATGGAAAGAGCATGAGAACCTGTGTGAAAACATGTTAGGGGCAAGTGTACGCCCCCCTCAATAACTGATAAATTATCTAAGAATAAAGACTAAGAAAACAGACAAAAAAAAGATAAAAAACACAGAGAGAGAAAAAGCAAAACAAAGCTGGGCAAAACCCATGCAGAAACTAACAATTAGTGACAAACTCAAACAAGAAAGCTTCTGCTTCCATTTAAAATCGATAACGCTTAAAATTCTGGTATAACAATCAATTCTTCTGGGGGAGAGTCGTATATATCAAAATTCTGCCCAATGTTTCTTCAACTTCAACCCAAACCTGCCAAAACCGAGGCATCATCAGGCAGGAATTTTGTCTGTAAGAGTGTAGCGTTCTGTGCAAGCTTTTTTTTCTGAGTCATTTTGCAATGTCGATGATATACTGCAGACTTGTATGTTTGGACTCAGTGTAAGGGATTTAACTAAAACTGGTTTATTTATTTATTTATTTATTTATTTATTTCCCAACGGATTGCACCTTTTTACAAAATATGTGTAACAATTTAGATGGCATTTGCAATATTACTAACTAGAAAAGTAATAACAATGGTAATAACAAAGTGATAATAAATAGTAATAGCAAGTAATAACAAATAGTGATAACAATAGTAATAACAAATAGTGATAACAATAGTAATAACAAAGTAATAACAAATATTAATAACAGAAGAATAAACTAAAAAGAGTATCAACAAAGAACATGAACAGCAAGTTTCAGCGATGAGAGGACAAATATGCAGATGTGCTGGAGTGTGGTAGCTCAAGTGATCAGGGAGACCTTCTTTTTGAACCGGAGGGGCTTCTCACCGAAGAAATCCAGTTGAGCAGCCGCCGTGCTACCAGCCTTGAGTAGACGGCTAATTCCGCTGTTGTAAGAGTAGTAGGCTGGGAGAAAGCGTCTGCTGAATATAGTCCTGGAGCGGGTGCCTCTGGGCGTGGTAATGTCGATACCACTCAGGATGTTGGGGCAATCGACAAACCCGTTAACCAGCTTGTAGAGCATGAATATGTCGGCATGATGACGTCGGAGTGACAAAGGCAGAAGATCGAAGGACTTCTCCACATCGTCAACCGGGGTAGTGCGGTAGGTAAAACCAAGTCTCGGTCCAAGCATCCGTATGAAGCGGGTTTGTATGCTCTCCAGTTGGCTGACGTGGTTCTTCTGGAAGGGAGACCAGATGATTGACCCATACTCCAGCAGCGGGCGTACCAGGGACTTGTAGAGCGTGATCAAGGTGAAGGGCGAGTTGAAATTCCTTGTTGATCTGAATATGAAACCAAGCAGGGAGCTAGCTTTGGTTGTAATGTGGGCAATGTGCTCGTGAGGGTTGAGCGAAGGGGTCATTGTCACTCCGAGATCTCGTACCCTTTCCACTCTCTTCAGTGTAGAACCATTGAGGACGTAGTCATGCATTTGTTTAAACTTATCTAGACCTACTTATTGTTATATATTTCTTTGATGGCCCTGTACAAATTTTTATTTCAAATAGGCCTAGCTAACGTTATTAGAAACATATACAGTATCATCATTGTTAGCCTATAAGTTAAGTTAGTTATTTTTTTTTTACAAAATAAATACATTTCCAGAATGTAGCCTAGTTTTTATATATGGTTTAATCCATTTGCATCATGATTAAAGTGCACATTGTGACATTACAGATCTGTGGTTGAGACTGAATAACCGACCATTTTTTACGATAAAACCGAATGATGAGTCTGCCAGATCATTCTTGTGGGATGCTGTCAAACAACTCAAACCGGTTTGTTTCTACGAACTACCCGAGCCAAGACCACCACTGGTTATTTTTGATCGGTTCCAACACATAGACCCTGAACTTGGAATGATAATAGAACCCGTAAGTAATTAAACCATCTTTTTGTTATAATACCCCTGTAGCAGCAAACCTGCATAGTATGGATTTGAACAAAAAATACAAAATAAATACAGTATACAATAAAGAACTACTGTACTACCGTATGTATAGAGTACAGCAATGAGGTGTTTGGATTAGTGGACGTTCGGATAACAGGGGTTCGGATTAAAGAGGATCTACTGTATTTTAAACCCAAAAAACCCCCCACTAAATCCTGTTCTCATAGTCCGGTTATGTTGATTCGCTAACTCGTTCAAATACAAGTAGGATTACACGTTTTTACCAAATGTAATCAAAATCATATAGGCCTAGGCCTAATTTTTACTCAAGTTGTTAACGGGCACATACATAAATGAATGTGAATGGATGGAGTTTTTTGCCTCTGGAGATTTTAAACATAAAAAGTATTTTGGATTATATTTAGAAATTATGCACTGAGTAGGCCTAGTGTAAATTCATATTTACCTATTTAGTTTTAGTCTTGGTGCCATTAATTTACAAAACAATATGCATATTGAATATAAAGTGAATTCGATAAATCTAAGTTTAGGCCTATAGCTTTTGATTAATTTACTATGCATTTTTTTGTCAAACTATCAAAATATGCAATATTGTAATAAAACACATCCATTTTTTTTAAATGCTTTAAAAAGACAGTAAGTTAATCACCAGATTAAGAATTTTGTGTTGTAGTTGGTAAAGAATAAATTAAGATTTGACCGAATGAATGAACTAAGCACTTATCAGCCTGTTGACTACTTTTATCCTAATTAGTAGGCTAAGTAGGTAAACAAATTTACTATTTTGTTACTACTAAAAAACTTGTCACAATGTTTAAGGAAAACATGCCCAAGAACATCTATCCTCATTGTAAAGTTGAAGATCCAGCTAATGGTATAATAGGATCATGTTCCACATACTTCACAAGAAAAGACATAACTGATGAAGTACGGAGCTTATCATATGAAGAAGTTGACAAGAGGTGAGCTTATAACCAAAAACTGTCCAAGTTAGTTACAGGCTATTGAATGGAAATAACATTTCTGTGTTAAAACACCCTGATTCAAAGATCCACTTGTCCGTCGCCTTCAGGATTGGGACCATGGCCCCACCCTGCAAAGATCGGATTATCAGAGGAGTTCAGGATTTTCCCTTGATCGGGGAAGACTATAATCATGTTTCCTTTACGACAGATGATACTCAGATTTTGTCGCGATCGCAAATAACAACAATAAGGTTTCCTTGATTGGAGTCTATGATGCCCCCCCCCCCTCACGATGCAACCTGATTTGTCAAGGATTTTCCTTGACCGCGGTAGACGATGGTAATGTTTCCGTTACTGCAGGAGATGTCCTAGATTCAATTGCAACCAGGGGTGATGACAATGTCATTTCCACGATCGTGGAAGACAACGATGATGTCCACATGACCATTGGAAATAGTCACGATTTTACCGTGATAAAATTGTAACTAAACGGCAATGGCACGGAACTTCAACAGTTCCTCTATCTACCATCTATCTACATTTCTCCATATCCCCGTCATCTTTTACCCACCCTCTACTGTCGAGGAAAAAATATGTACATTCAGGTTTGAACTTAAACATCTTCACTATCTATGTTTGTGAAAAATTCTCTCTCCATGCATTCTTTTTAATAGTTACATGTTTGATCCCAAGTCAGGTTGTTTTCAGACCATGATGCCATTTGTCGCTGTACCTCCAAGTAATGCTGTCTTAACAGAAGATCCTTATCAACAATTTTACAAATACAATTGGTGTTAAAACAAAAAAAAAAAATAAATAAAAAAAATAATTAAATAATAAAATTTTAAACCAGGGCATTTTAGTAGGTAGGCCTATTTTTTTTCTAATTTCCCATTTGAAGTTATAGCCTACATAGTACTCTATTGGAAAATTTAACCATTACATCTGTATCTGTTTGATTTATGTTGTAACGTCATCTGTTTGGTGTCAAATGGTTGAGTTATTCATCTTGCTGTACATGTTTCAAATTGATTATGTATCATCATCAGCACGAGGTTAAATAGTTTGCTATTGGCTGCCGGCTCATTGTCCAATGTTTGCCAAGATTACATAGACATTCAAAATACACAGATAACACAAAATTGTTTATACATTTTGTTTTAACCCACATGTCTATTATCAAACTACATTAACGTTTTAAATTATATATGAAATTGGATTTACAACATTTGTCAAACATTTTAATCAGTTGTTTTATAATTAAGGATGTAGCATAGAGCACTTGTTGTTGTTCTAAGAGTCTTGTTTTTTTTTGTGAGGATATCAGGCTTACCTGTGACACATCTAAGTGACTTAAATTTAAGATCAAGTATAGCGTGCTGTGAAAGGAGGCAAGAAGGGCATGCTGAAATAAGAAGTCGTATTATTCCAGTAAAAATCCAATATAATGAAATAAACTCTTAAAACTAACAATTGTTCAGTATGATAAAACACCTCAGAAAATTGACAAAAACTATTTCTCCACTTAACCAAAATAAAATTTACAACCATTACTAACCCCCCCCCCCCCCTCCTTTTTATTTTGCCCTCCCAGTGGCGTAACAAATTTGTACGGGCCCCTCTGCAAACTTATTTTTTGGGCCCCCCCTCTCATGAGTTATTTTTAGACCACCGATACAACATACCGTAATCAAACGCCCTCCCCCTTCCCCCTCCCTCCAGAGTTATTTTTGGACCACCGATACAATGAGCAAACAGATTAATCATAAAAAGAGTGGTAAATAAATAATAAAAAAAATATTAAATTAAAAATTTTAATATTAAATTATGGGCTATGTTCCATAAAAGGATGTATAAAGTATTTCAGTCGTGGTTTGATGAAAGTGTTACATCACTTCATCATTATATCAATATAGTGAATAGTGATTGTAAATAGTTTTGAAATCAAATTTAAAAAACCCTTTTTCCATCGTCTATCAGAATGTTTATACTGTATCAAGGAGGTTAAAAATTTTACATTTAATTTATCACACATGTTATCAATTTGTTAATTACAAGGCAAAAATGTGGTTCGAATTCCCCTATTAACCCCCTTAGGCCCCTTAGATGCCTTTAGATGTATTGGCTATTAATTAACATCTGTGTCTAAGGAATATGTCGGCCTTAGTCCCTTTCAAAACTAAAAGGTTGGGCCACTCATCCTACACTCATCTCCATTAATTCTTGGCTTAAAAATACCTACATTGGTATGGTCACCATTTCAAAGTAAAGTATTAAAGGCAATCAATCAATTATTTAAGATGGGGACGCCACTATGTGCATATTTTAACCCAAATATGAATGAAGGATGAGAAAGTGTTAATTTATTAGGTTAGTTTAATCTTTGGTTATAATTATCTCATACACTAAAAGCTGGGTAATTTAATAGATTAACGTACTTTTATCACAGGCTAAAATAGCCTATTGCATTTTTTATTTTATCTTTGTATGGATTTCAAGCGTCTTATTATGTTGTAAGTGTTTATCTTACAACAAATGTCTTTAGTATTGGTTAATTGTGAGGTAAAATAAGATATGGGCTAACAAACACAGTCAGCAGAGTACCAGTATATTGTATTTAACAAAATACAATCAATATTAGGACAAAACTAAAATGTAAAATAATACAATATTAAAAGCCCCATCCAACGTTCATAACTACAGGCTCCAAAGTAACAAAATGTTTGCAGACGACTTAAGCAGTGTACAAAATCACCGAGAAGTAAAATATTTCTCGGTGACGAAAGTAAGATTGCATAATAATCAAAAACCCATAAGCACTTTAAATTTGTTACCCTAGTTCGTTATCACTGAAGAGGCCTAACGAAATTAAACGATACGGTAACTGATAACAACAAATTATTAATAACATCAATGTTATTACTTGTTCAATACAATTATTGAATGATTTATAATACATTTAAATAAGAATGAACTCCAATTTTTCGGCCCCCACTCGTCTCACGGGCCTCTCTGCTCGCCGTTTCCCGCTCACCGGTTCGCGGGCCCCCTCAGCTCCCGGGCCCCCCCGCATCGCGGGCCTTGCGGGCCCTTCTGTTACGCCACTGTGCCCTCCCCTTTCTTTGATCGATCAAACCTTATATAAAAATCCCCTAACACTTCTTGTCCTCTCCAAAGTCCATACTTCCTACTTTTCAACTCAAATATAGGCCTAATCATAAATTTTGAAAATATTGATGTGTAACATGGTGAAGGGTACTCATCACTTCACGAACGCTGTCTTCAATCCTTGGTCATTCACCTCCTTCAGTGAGATGATCTGTACCGGAGACAGTCTACTGGTGAGAAGACGTCCATGGTTTGCAAACAGATTGTCCCAGACGGTTGTTAGGCCTCCAAGAAGGTGATACTGGTCCAGACACCTCCAGACAACAGATAGGCGATGGTGTACTCTCCGACGATGTTTAACTCTGAGACTTGAACCCTAGGACATGTTCCAAATTCGTACTATGGATCCCTTCTTTATTATCTTTATTTTAGTCTAGTTACACATACTTTCACACATCTATCCAGCAAAGTTAATTTCCCACAAATTGTTTCTGAAATCTAGTTTCTTCACAATAAATTTAAACATAGAATACTAATAAATCTCATTCTGTTCTCATTGATAAACATTTGAAATAACCCCCTAAATAAAATCATTTGTAAGTACAAAATATAAAATATTTTAACATATTACCCTTTAACACAAATCTTACTGAATTTACATAATAATAAAATTGACCACAAAGTAATTTTAAATTAGCTGTCTCAAACATGTGTCTAATACATCTTTATTCTTTAACGAATTACTAAATAAGTTTACTGTGACATTTTAATAAAACACAAATAACCTCTATTAAACATATCCTTCTTCCATGTCAAAATAAATAACTGTTTAGACAAATCCTTAATAACTACCCCAAATTAAAACAATATTAAAATCCTGTCGGTTCAACTAGAACATGACTCTGAAACCAACCTAATTTTACCTTAAAAAAAAACAAATTTAATCAAAATATTCTCTCTGAACAGTTATTGATAGTTAAAAAACTCATTTAGATTGACACAATGCTATTTAAATTTAATCCCTTTTAAGATACAAAGCTAAAACAATTTTTTAACACTCGTTGAAACCTGAGGCAAAAACACGTGGTGTTCAATCTTCATGTCTATCAAAATTTAAGTAAAAATTATTAATTGGTTTACCAAAAAAATGCTTAGCTATATATTTACAAATTGAAGTTGTACTGATTTTTCCTGGAATAACCATAAAACATAAATTGGTTAATTATTTGCATTACATACCTCCAAATCGAGGGACCAAGTTGACTGTCGGCCACGACTACTCAAAATGAGATTGAAACAACGTGGTTCTCTTCCAAACTATGAATCATTGCTACCCTCAGCCTAGTCTCGAAAACTTGCCGCCAGACTGCGCGTTTGCAGTTATCAATGCTGGCATCGACTTGAACTAAGTAAACCGGTTTCTTCTAGTTTTCCAGGATTTGTATTAACATTCAATTCTATTTCCTTATTACCTATGAAAATAAAATATAATTTCTGTCACAATCGTGACACCTGAATGGGAAAGAGTCCAAACTGGCACAAGAGATATAAAACTTGACACTGCAAACAAAACATTACAATATTTCACTGTCACTGACAGAATTTTTAACTAAGGAAGAAAGGGACCTGAAGAAAATATGGCGCTTTGGTATTATACGGATGCAGCTTATTTTACAGCCTGGTGCGGCGGTTATGTTAGGCTGGGTTATCACAAATATGTTTGTAGGACTTCCTCGTTTTGTTATGAATTGAAAGATCCCAGATGAGTCATACTTACTTATACAGCACGCTGAATAAGGGTGGCCTCTGTATAATACCAAGTACTGTAAACTCTCTCTTTCTTGATTGAAAATGCTGTTAGTGACAGTGAACATATTCTAATGTTTTGTGTAAATAGTGTAAGGTTTTGTGTCTCTCGTACCAGTTTTGATTTTAAAGTCAACATGAATTATTTAATTACTAGCTGTGTGCCCGTTCTACGCACGGGGATCTTATAGTAGTCAGTTGAAACCTATTAAGATTAAGAACAGCAATTAGTTTGCATATTTGCAGATATGCTGGCAAAACTATTATATATAAACCTTCGCAAATACAGTATCTGACAGTTCAAGCCAAAATAAATGCTTCGCAATTAAATGTCACCCGGATCGTGTTGGTCCATATGTCCAATGATTAAACTTAAAAATGTTTTATAGATCCATGAAGCGTAGCCCTAAAGTAGGCCTATAATTGAAAGTTACTTTCCACATCGGTTAACTTAAACGTATTTAAAGTACTACCTCAACCTCACCATTTAACACTTTATTCCGGTTGACATTTTCAGTATCAAAGGTGCTCTTGTCCATTCCGTGAAACACTGAGAAATAAGGACATTAATGCGTTACCAACATACAACAAAACAACACAATACAACAATCCAACAAAGGCCACGAACTATTGATACATAAACAATATAAAGGCGTAAACAATTCATGATGGTTTGCCCAACAAATGTTTTACTCAAATAGGTTATCATTTTCTTAGCATACCGGGTAAGCTAAGATTTGGAATCCAGGCAGAAAAAGCAAAACTTATACAGAGTTAAGACATCACTTAAATTGAATACGGACGGCTCTAATAAATAAGGTGCAACACCAACGATATCTAATTTGTAAACTACCGGTTCTAAGGAAAAGAACCAGTACCTACGTAAGAACCTACCTAAGAATTACAGTAAATCGGACCAATTAAATACATTAATATCTAGTCCCGAGGTTATTGATCTCTTGCTTTTGGATTTTCTCGTAAAAAGTTATAGCGTAAACTTATCGGTGTCAGTTTGAAAAAGAAGCAACCTTACCCAAACAACTTTTTGTTATTTAATAGATTACGCATTCTCTAAACAATGATTAGTATATCTATCAACATTAGAAGGAAATGTGACGAAAATCACACAATGTTGGGGGTTTGGTCATTTGTAATTTTATTTTTTAAGTAGGTAGTCCATGTATTCTATGGAAAAGTACCGGTATCAAGGATCGTCGTCAAAAAGGTTGTTATGAATAAATATGTAGGCTTACGTACCCAAGATATGAGCTATGGGCCTATTGGCTGTATGGTCCAGCGATTGCATCACACGGTGAGTAGAAACAGAAAGTGACACATTGGAAAAGCGAGTTTAGCACTTCCTCTGTTAAACCTCTGTTACAATCACCCACTGCAGTTGTGATTTTTTACTTTACACTTTACACAATCGCCATTGAAGCGCCGTCAATGAGTGGAAACCTTTTTTGTAAGCTATTGGCGACGATCATTTCAGTGTCACAGCCCTATACAACACTGATTCAAGGTCTTCTTCTTTCTGGTTGTCAAAACTCAAGAAACATTTTATACTCAAAGAATTTCTGGTTCCGATTTGGACGATGTCTAGTTATTTAATTTCATTTACGGTTACACTATTAGACTATATTATTGCACTTGCGATTAATTAAATCCGTTCTGTAAGAAAAACGTTTTTAATCTCACTTGGTTGGGATTTGCTTTCAAAACGTGATTCGAAATAGTTGCGGTATTTGTAAACAACATTTGTAAACATGTCATTGACAGCTAGAAAAAATAATCTTGATCCGAACAGCTGTTCGTTATTTCATAGACGATTATGTGATAAAAATTGAACGAAAATTTGACAAAAATCGCACAAAACTGCAATTTTGAACGTCCGTAATTTTATTTACAAAGTAGTGAGGCTATATTTAAATCACTAAAGACACTCTCGCCAATCCAGTGAATACATTAAAATGACTTGGATCTTGATATGTACTCTGGTTTTCACGGAGAAGATTGCGTAAAATGCCATCTTGAGTGTTACAGACAAAGGGACAGACAGACAGACAGAAATTGAGATAAGACTCGTTTCTGCTTCTTTAATGTATAAAACGTAAAAATAACCTAAAAGTATATAATTTTGAGCAATGTACAGACAAAACTCTAATTTTTTTTATATAGATACTTTACTATTCATTTTTTAATTTTTTACTCCTAAAAACAGGGGATGATTAATTGGAAGCCAGTTGTCTCAGAGTGGTTGACGTTCAAGGCTACATCACATTTGTTTTCCACAGATGGGGCCACAGGCTGGTAGCAGTCGCTTCTGCTGCTGCTAGACGCAGGGCTTTACAGAACCCCGACGTGAACCCTAACCTAGAGCTGACTCCTATGCAGTACATCGTCCTGGAGAGGGTGGGCCGCAGTCGCTACCTCGGAGAAATCACTCAGGGTCGAGACAGTCTGCAGATTGTTGGGGAAGATGCAAAAGCAATCTTCTATCTGCGAAAAGTCCTCCACAAGCACCGGCTAATCACCAAACAGGTGCTGTAAACAGGCTTACAAGTTTGGAAAGTTCCCATCTATTCAAAATGAAACTGAAACGTAACTTGAAAAATCAGGTGTTCTATTCGGTTGATGAGTTCACTGTGCATCGTCGGAGTTGGGCACAGAATTATATTCAATCCTTGAACCTCATTGGTCCGCTACTGTTACAAGTGTTGTAAAAAAAAAAAAAAAAAAACAATGTTGGTTAAATAGGCCTAAGTAAACAAATGTGGTATAGCTTAGTGAATCTTTTCAATTCTTAAACTGAATTGAAAAGGCTACTTAACACGTTTGCTGCTGACCGCTAGATGCCGGGACGGCGCCGGGAGCTGAACTAACGCTCGCCGCTGTGTAAACATTGCTGCCGATACACTGAATTACAGTAAAAACAACAGTAGTTGTACTGGATGGCAATGTTCTGCAATAAAACTGGCTTTGGACATAGTACTAAGTGATTCTGATAGATAGCAGCACTACCCAGGTTGCAGTCGGTAAAGTAGTGTCGCTATCTAGCAGGAGAGAGTAAGACAAAGCCCTGTTCTAAACGACCCTGGTGGTGATTTTCGGAAACTACCTATATTTTTTATTGACAGAAAAGTACGTCCCCATGAGCTGCAAAGAAATATAGGACGCTCGTGAAAAGCTGACTGATCCATTTTAACATTAAACGTCAATGAACGGCGACGTTCTGGAACGTTCCTAGCTCCTGGCGCCATGGCCCGTTTGACGTTCCGGAATGTGCGAAGCGGTGAAATTCACAAAATTTATGCAAAGAGGAACAAATCTATCCCCTCCACTTGAATCAACTTTAAAAAATAAAAAGCTCAACAGCTGAGGTTTGCCCAAATATAAATCAGGTGCGCCAAAAAAAAGAAGTAGTAGAGAAACTTCCCCTTAAACCTAAATTTTGTGAACGCAGAACAACATTTTAATAAGTAACAAAGTAATATATGTACATTATATAACGTCTAGGCTTATTATAACTTTATTACAATCTTAATTTTTTTTTGGATTATAATATTTTGACTGGAATACTATTTTCTCACAGTGATACAGTGAATATACAAATTGCTTTTTTTAGATGTTCCATCAAAAGTTGGGCACTCAAAACACCAGTGGGCTACTGCTTCATCTACCCAGGTTTTTTGTGGAGCGACGGCCGAAAACTCTGACTATGACTGAGAAAGTTGTGGCCTATTTGAAGAACAAACCAAACCACATGGAAGAACATAATGTGCTACGTACAAAACTTAATATTGAAGATACTCTGAAAAAACTCAGCAAAACCCCCAACTTTCAAAAGTTCATCAAGTCAGATGTGGTAAGTTTGCTGTTATGTAATTTTAAGTATTTATAAATAACAAACTACAGTAACTATCTCAACTTAGTGAGTCGGTGGATCAGTCTGTAGCGTCACGGACTTCGGGCCCAAGGCAGCGATGTCATGAGTTTGGATCCTGGTCACTGTCGTTAACATTTTATCAGTACAGTTCACCTTCGTACTGTACCGGCTCAGGCTCACCCCTTGCTTTACTGGATACGTTCCACGCACGGACAGTGATGGTCTATGTGGACGGGCAAATGCAAGTTAAAAGAAGTTGCCAACCTCCTTAAAAAAAGTTAACACAGTTCCTTAGAGTGATCATTGATGACATGTTTTGCTAATCGTTTAGCTCATCGGGAAGGTAGTTTACGATTCATTGCAAAATTTATACCAAACAGACAAGAAAGCGAACTAATTAAAGCGTTTTAAAATCATTAATTTTGTGTAAATTTCAGGTACTTCACAGAGTTATGTATCCAGAGGCTTCAGAGTCTGAATGGAAATATAAAGGACTAAATAAGGAGCGATCTGTCAGAGTTTTCTGTCTCATAGACCCTTCCACAGATCCTAAAGACGTTTGGCAGAAGTATGACGACATATATGATGACGAAGATGATGATAAATGTGGTATGTCGGGATTTTATCATGAACAACACTATGGGGATTGTGTTTAGTAAAGTTCAAAAATTGTAGTGTTTCTAGAAAGCGGTTACACTTATTATAGTTGAAATATTTATTTTTATTTTTTCAGAAATATTTTATACAATTTTCTTTGAGCTATTTTGTAGATTTTAATTAACAAATAATTTAATAGTACTATCTTAAAGCGTTGTTGTAGGCTCAATGGTTATGTATTGTTTTGTTATTCTTATGGAGAATAATTAAACTGTTGAAGTTTGCTTGTTTAAGAATACGGTACAGGAAGAAGTATGATATAATTTGATCAAGTTTGGCAAATTTTTTTTTAAGGAAATATTTTAGTAAATATTATCAGGCAGGACCATCTTAATTTCAATGTATTTTCACTTTCTTTGAGTTGTATAATAGTTTGGTTCATAAAAATTAGATAAATTGCCATTATTAAAAAAATTGTCTTAACGTGTGTTCAAGTTTGAATTTCAAGATAAGAAGGAACACCTCTAATATATTTTATATTTCAAAATTTTATTCATGTTATTCTTTAAGCCAGTAACCCATATAAGAACCATATGTACTTACAAAACATAAAGTTTTTTAAAGGTTCTATTAACGGAAATTTTGCAATCGTCAATTGCTAAAGCAACTAAAGATATTTAATGTGACACTGAACAGGTCTATTGGACGAAGGCCACCGCCTACTTGATCGCACAGTGATGGCGCAGGCATACAAGATACTGGAGGCGGCTGGGCCTGAAGGTGTCACTCAGGTGCAGATGGGCGAATCGTTGGGCGCGTCCAAACTGGCTTCTCGCATGATCGTACGCAACCTCACCAAGAGCAACAAGGTCACCATGTTCATGAAGGACGAGGGACGTCAACGAACAGCCAAGTAAGTCAGAGAAATGATTTCTTGTTAAGATAAGGTACTTTTTATGGATTTCGCTTGTTAGTTGAGGGATTGATTTTGGCATCTGAGATGGAAATTAGCTTCCAGATCCGTAAATCTAATGAAAGTTTGAATTTTTCTAATTATGATTTAAATGTCTGGCACTAGTCCAGTACTTTGCAGGAACAAGGGGCTGGAAGTTACCAGTACAAAGTGGCGTTCCTAAAGTGCCTGATTTTTCTCTAATTTAACAAGCTGTTGTCAGACCATAGAACCTAAGATTAACAATGTTTTTTTATGATTTTTGTGTCCATTTCTACGCCAACAGCACTTTTTTACTTTATGAAGGAAACGTTCCAAACCTTGGTCATATTACTGTTTAGTGTTGATCTTTTTGTTAGCATCATTGTAATTCAAAGCCCAAAGGGAAATGGAATGTGGGTCCAGAAACAACCTCGCTTGGAATCCAGCAATCTCTTTGAGGAAAAAATCAAACACTCTATATGCTACCAAATATGCTTTTCAAAGTATCAATGAAGGAGCATTTGTTATTTTATCTGTGATGCTGTGCAGTAATAGTCTTTGATTTTTGATTGAGCGTAAATATTTAAATATTTGGACATTTGGTGCTTTTTCAAGGGACAAAGATTGGGTCGAGTTAATAGCCAGATGGATTATTTTAATAGCCAGAGTATAAGTTTACTCTTTATTTGCTGACCAAATTTAAGGAATTTTATTTGTATCTTTCTCCAAATAAAACAAATAAATATTCTTTTTTTATTGATCCTTCTTAAAAATGATGTTTTGGAAACCTTCCACCCTGGCACAAAAACACAAATGATTTTGTGTTTTTTTTGCACGTCTTGCTTCTGATAGCTATTATATTAAGCTCACAGTGTATATTAGGTGTTTTTCTTCTTTATTTGAATACATTTTAATTTCAGGTTTGCCTTGAAGATATTTGACAAATGTTCTGACATCAAGAAACAAATGATTGAGGAGAAAGACAAATTGATCAAACTAGTCAGCGAAAGCAAGACAACAGAAGATGCTCAACCTTCTTGCTCAAAGAATCAATCGAGTGGTAAACAAACGTCCAACTCAGAGAAGAGGGAGAAAGGGAAGAAAAAGAAGAAGGAAGCACTGCCCTCACCTTCAACATCAAAAGCTACTGACATTCCGAGTGAAGTGGATGTGAGGGAAGTGAGTAGTGAACAGAGGGAATCTATAACAGTGGACGTAACAGAATCACTGCCTTTGGAGAACAATCCACCTGCTTCCGAGAAAATCAGGGTGAAGATAAAACGAACTAGGAAACGCAAAGGTAAATTGGATGAGGAAAAAACCAGTGAGCCTGTACCAGAGAAGAAGGCGAAAATAGAAAGTGCTAAGAAGGTAGGAATAAATTTGTTGTATTTTCAAAATATTGTGATTAGGTTGTATAGTATGTTATGTGAAAAAAGTTTCTGTTAAAAGACTATTCGAGAAAAATTAAAATACACCAGAGTCCTGCCAATCTAAGCCTCGGTAAATAGAACAACCAGCTAATGTGCATCACCTCGGTGGTGGAGGAGGGGGGGGGGGGTAAGTTACTGTATTTGCATTTAAAAAAAAACACATGTTGCTCTAGCTAACCAGGTTGTTAAACCAAGAAACTAGGAAATTTGTGAATTTTGATGACTCGGAAAAGCTTATGATTTTTGTAAAATTCTGAGGAATTTTGAATAACTACCTCACAAATGCATCCAAGCATCCAATTATTAATAGCCCTTAATAATCATCAATAATGCCCTTGATGATGATCTTTTAAAACCCGTTTGCACATGGCTAGTTTGCTAGCAGCTAATTCGCTAGCACATCCCGGTAGCGTGCTAATTTCACATCCCGCTAGTAGCGTGCTAATTCGCTAGCACACCCCGCTAGTAGTACAGGGGCTTTACAGTACAATATAAAATCTACAGTAAAATACAGTAAATACAATAAAATCTAGGCCTACTGTTAATAAAAGACTTAATTTGAATGTTTGTGATTTGCAATCCTGGCTAGTCCAAACAATTTGGTCACATGAATAGGGTCCGGTTTAATTAGTTTCGGTTAATGAGGCTCTCCAGTCTCTGGAAGTGGTGTACTACAGTAACACCCCAAAAATCTGACACATTCAATAATCTGGCTAAGTGCTAAGGAGTTTATTTTACATTGAAAAAACCTTCAAAGCACAATCATAGGCTTTGAGAGGCTTGATGGCAACCAGTTGTGGTTGGGTGTACACAGCAGTGATGGTATGTGGCTTTTCAACTCCATTTTAGGCTTTTAGGCGGCTTTCCTTGTTTTCACTATCCTGGCAATAAAATCGCCTATTATTAAATTTCATTATTTTGAATATGATTTTATTCTTTAGTAAGTAGTAAACACACTTAGGATTGCCATTGTTTTTGTAATTTCAATTCAATTTTTTTCAGGTACCAGCTAAAGTCGAAAGTCCTGGACCAACAGATGAAGCGTTTACCTCAAATGTAACTGTAGAAATCAAGAGCAGCTATACCTGTGGAAGATCACTGTAAGAAGTTTTTTAGAAATAACAGTTTTACTTGCAGTTGAATATTAAATATCAATCGATCTTTATTCATTGAGCAGTATTTTTTTATGTAATGACTGTTTTCAACAGGTCATTGATGTTAAAAGCTTACAACCGTTTATTATCTTATCTGTTCCTACTAATTTGTATAGACAAAAAGAAATATTCAAGGTTGTAAATAACACCAGTGTAGAGTTTTGTACCACTCATGTACACATTCTTTGCGGGTTCCCTAAGAAAACCAGATCTCCAAGTTTGTGGCACCTTACTGTATTTAGTGTATTTAAACACTGTATTCATGTTGTACTTGCATAGCCATATAAGGAAATACAAATCTGCCACACCCAAAAATTTACCTGCGAGCCAGAATTTTCTTAGGTGTTTTGAGTTAAGTAAACTTCAAGTTGGAGATTAAAAGCCAACCCATGGAAGTCTGTTTACAATATGAAAACTACAATTAGTTCTGAATTAGTACTAAAATAAAATAAAATTGTTTCAGCACTGCCAAACCTTTAGCTCTACCAACCACCATACCTGGGTTGGAAAGCACCAGCGTCACGTTCAGGATGTTGAAACGCACAAACTTGATCATGGAGGCAGTACACAAACAGAAAGTCATTTTCGATGCGAGTAAACTGCAAAAAGTAAGTTGTTTCTAGTTTTCCAATCAATTTTATTAAACAGTTGAGGTGGGGACACGACTGGGTGTATTTTACCCCAAGTATGAGTGAAGTATGATTGTAGAATGTAATGGGATGCCTTGTGTAGCTTTGTTACTGATCAAACTCTCTGTTACTATAGCCTCACTTATCTAACACTGTTATCTGTCTGGCTGCTTGGTCAATTAATGTCTCCATCCGTTGAAGGTCTTTCCGAACCTGGTCACCCCACCGTAGTTTAGGTGTTCTAGATGTCCATGAGTAGCTAACTTCAAAAGACTATGTGTCCGGCTCAAAACAAATCTTCCTCTCTTAACAATAGCTACTATATCTGGGACTTCATTAAGTTCTCGAAACTCAATGGTTTTTCTGATCCGCCATATTTAATTTTCTTTTATAGGCCCGAAAATCTTTCTTAATATTTTGTTCTCAAAGGCAATTATTAATCTATTTCACTTTGTTTGGTTAGGGGCCAGGCCTCTGATCCATACAAAACTACTGACTCACTTATGGTTTCATAGATTCTTATTATTTTGGATTTTATAGTCATTTGGATTCCAAGATTATAGACATGCTTTGAAAGCAGTTAGTTGCGGCAGTCACTAATCAGTCTCTTTTCCATGTCATTCTCTCTTTCGTTTATAGAATTAAGGAATTACCTGCAATTCCCAGGGACTTGAATTCCAATACTTGCTCATAGGTCAGGTTGTTAACATTTAACTGTCCATCATCCTCATTTGAATTCTTCCCACTTTGATATCTTGATTTCTCTGCACTTACTTCAAGTCCTATATTTTTTTTATTCTCCTATAGTTCCTATAGCCAGGACTGATTGTTAAAAGCCCAATGATCAAGGACAGCTGTGTCCAGTTTTGAACCATCAAAATTATCAAGATCAATATTCTGCATTTGTTTTTGTATAACTTTGATAATAGCTTACAACCTTCGGTTGCAGAGATTTATTTAGTAGTACTTTTTCTTGTGTCTAGGTTTTTTGACACAAATACTAAGTTCTGTAGGGTCAAGCAACAACTGGATGAACTGAGATTTAAAATTGACAGTTTGATTAAAAAAAAACTTATAGGATTATGAAGTATGAATTATGAAGTGCTTAGACAAATCCTGAAATACCGAGATTGGATTAGGTTAAAGCCTCGGAATTGATACCCTTATCTGAATATTACTTCAATGTCTTATTAAATATCTGTGGTTACAGTTAATTCATAAAGATTTAACATTATCGTATGGACAGTATTTTTTGCAGGATTGCTAATTCGCAGAACTGAAAATGTAAATTTTACTGTTCTAGATGATCCTTGAGGAAGAAACAAAAGAAGGATTAGATGTAAGGATGGACAAGAAGTCCTTACAGAGGATTATCCGCAAGTTGGCCTTGGAAGGACATGTGAAACATTTACAAGTTTCACTGAAAGGATATGATAAACAGAAAACACTTGTATTTATCTGCCATCCTTCAGTTGATAATGGTACCCTTTTATAGTAGCCTTTCTTTATATAGTAACCTTTTATATAGTAGCCTTTTTACTGTGAAACTCAATGATTTAACCGTTGTTTTGTGTTAAAAATTTGCTTCCAAAATTATTTCATGGAAATCTTTGACATAATTTTACAATACATTGTAGTTTCACCTGAATGTGAGTGAAGGGTATGTGTAGAATGTAGTGGAAGTCCTTGTCTGGCTTTGTTACTAAAATCTGCCTTATGCAATAACCAATTATTTCTTTGGTCAGGATAATGTTTTGAAAGCTTAATGTTCCTGGACATGCGGGTCCAGTTGTGTGCTGTCTAAAAACTGACTCTATTCAAGGGAGTTATTGTAAGCGCACAAATTGTTTCCGCGTGGCCCCTCCACCGCCTCCACTGCCAGGGGGGGCCCCCACCACAGTATGGAGCTTGGCGATCTGCTACTAGTCGCCCTGAAAATGCTGTCTATACTACTTCTACTCCCAGCGGATGCATAACACCAACTACGGCACGGTGCCTGTTAGTCTTATAATTTCCCTCGCTTCACTGTGAATGGTTTGCCCTTTTTTACAGGCGGTTGCCTTGATATTAATCTAAGTTAGCGTAACACTTTTTTAACCCACGGCTTTACAATCACTCAATAATTACTCAACTTCCACAACACAGTCCAATAAACTGACAGTCGATAGAACACGATAGAATACAATACTCTCCCGGTCATAAAATATTGTCAGAAAATACTTTACGACACTAAGAGACGGACTTTCATTTTAACAACTTAGGGATATAAAATAAATGACCGTTTTACAGGGTGTTCGGAAAATCGCCCAATATTTTGAGGTGTTATTTATTGTACATGATATGAAAATAAGCAAAAAGTTTCCATAATTATATGTACTAAGACAAATGTTTTTAGAAAGCGTAGTCCGACCAATGCCACAGAAACTTTGGCTGTGGTGGAAGATTGGTACCGCTCTCCTCCTGCACACACTGCTAGCAAACAAGTCGTACGCTTACTGTACTTGTGTCTCCTATCATATAAAATTATGCCTTTAAAAAATTTTGCGAATATTACTGTTAATTATTATTTTTTACGATATTATAAGATCGTTCATATGACCACTAACGCTTGATGTGCTTTACAGACCACTCTGTCATTCAATCCGCCATAGATCAAGCTAAAATGAAATTCCACATTCTGGGCAGAGAAGCTCTAAGGAAGAAGTCACGTCTGAAGAAACCAGTTCAGCCGCAACCACCTCCCCCCAAACAACCAGAGGGGGAAAGTTTGTATGCCGATGTTCCTCCCTCGTGCAACATTGAAAACTTCAATCTCAAGTATAACTTTGTAAGTCAGAAGTAGGATGTAACATAGAGCACAAGGGTTTTCGATATTTTAAGAATATGATTGATTACCTATTCCTGTAATCCTATTCATATTGCGTATCCTATTCCTGGAATGGTAAACTCCACCCTGCCACAAAACACGACACTGTACATGATCCTTCACTCGAAATTTCACTGCCTCTTTTAGTAAGGTTAAACACAATTTTCTACTTAATTTCAATGAGCATGCTTTTTAAACCTAGATACCACAGACTCACCAACACAAGTAGACTGACTTCTAATCCCATTGTAAATTTTAAAGCTTATTTTTTGTGTCTAATTCATGTCTGGTGACACTGATCGCTAGTGACGACAAATTTTTGTTTCTATTATTTGTATTTGTTGTTTGATTTGTGTTTTACTGTTGAGATGTATAAACTAGGGGACAGATTATTGTATATGATGAGATTGTTTTATTTGGCTAAATGAGGTTTTTAAATGAAATAACAAGAAACAAATTGTAAATAAAACCTGACCTCTGCAGTGCACCGTACAGAACTAACAATAAAATTGGCTTCAGCTGTTCCATTAGGATGAGAAATCTATTAAGGGGGTATGTTTTATATATGATATTACTTGAATTAAATGAAAAAAAAAAAACGTATTAGTTTTTCACTCAACACTGTATAGGCATTCAAAAATTGAGATTTATCAATGTTTTCAGCGCCTGGGCCGAATGTACGGCTTCAAGCCTAAATATATGCGGATGCAAGTGCTACACAAGTACATGTTCTACTTGATCTATGGATACGAAGGAGACGTTGACCTCAACCAGGAGACGGCCTTGAGAGAGATAGAGAATCACGTTGAGATCACTGATAGTATCAGGAGTGAAATGTCTCAAATATACTCTACGACCATGGACTGGAAAATGTTCCTTCCTCCGTTACCAGTCCACACCGGTAAGTGTTTGCATTTAACTATTTAATCTAAAGGGTTATTGAATTGAAATAAAGTAGAGTGATTTAGATTCTTGATTCATCAAAACATCGATATTGGTAGTATTGCAGGAGCTCAGTCAGAACTGTTTCATTCCACCTCTGGTCTGTAAAATCACCTGCCTTTGATCAGAGGGGTGGATAGGATTTTATATATTTTTTATGATTTCTCACGAGTTTTGTTGTAACTTTTTGTGTCTTTCAACACGATGTGACCATAATTTAGCCAAAGTCAAAACCAAAAAAGAAAAAAAAAAACCCAATACTGCTTGAATATCTACTATTAGGCAATCCAAATAATTGCAGACGACACAATAGTGTCAGCTAGTGATGGACAAGACCCGAAGCTTCGGGCGGGATTGAAATACTGACAGGATATTTTCAAAACGAGATTTAAAAAACTATTTAATTTTCTAGTTAAAAAATTTTAATAAAATTATAATTTTTTAAATATTAAAATTTAAAAAATTTCAACAATGTTAAGAAATATTTAATTTAAAAAATTTTTAATTTAAAAAATTTTTACACTAAAACAAAAAATTAATTTTTTGTTTAATTTTTTAAATTTAACTTTATTTATTTTAAAATTTCTCAAAATGTTAAATTAAAAAATATTTAAATTTAAAAATAAAAAAAAGGTTGCAAAGGGGTTTATATTATAAACCCTGATAGTAGTTGTCATCAGTCTGTCAATAATTCGACTACTTTGCCCGTGTCGTCTGCCGCCAAAAGTTCTGCTAGTTTTCCTGCGACGTCTGCTCCTGTAGTAGACAAGCGAAACAGTGAAACTGTTACGCCTGCCAAACAAAAAACATCAGTGAAGAGGAATGGTGGAAAACGTCAAACTGAACTGTCAAAACCGTATAAACATAACCCTAACCTACCAACTACAACAAGTACAAGTGCAGTTAACACTAATGGTCTTAAGGTGTACAAACAAATACAAAGTTCTGGAAAACAACATTTTAATAACGAAAATTCTATCACAGGTTCTGCCAATACTAGCAACAAACTGTCAACAAATACAGGTATTTATTTATCTCAAGGCTGGCTACAGACGTTGACTGTGACACAGTTAATAAATATATAAGTGATGAAATTAGTGGTGATTATAAAGTCACACAAATGAGGAACAGATTCCCAGGCTATCGAACATTTAAGGTAGGGGTTCCTGCTCACTTGTGGGACAAAATATATTTGCCTGAGTTCTGGCCTACTGGGGCATATATAAATGCCTTCAGGTTTGCTAAAAAAGCAACAAGCACTGTTAAGCACCAGGAAAATTTTTTAGAAACTCCCCCCGACTCTGTAGATTTAACGTAGAGTCTGAAGTGTCAGATAACTCTGACACACAACTCTCTTCGCATAACAAAGCGATTGGGAACTCCTCTAACATTTGCTTGCCCCAGTCATCTAATAAAACACTATCTAGGTCAGCTAAAAAATTAAACATCCTCCTGTGGAATATTCAATCTATTACCAACAAACTAGATTATCTACGATTGCTTGGGTATGACAGTAGTGTGGATGTGATTTGTTTGACTGAACACTGGGTCTCGCAAAATGATATTAATAGCTTAAGCCTAAGAGGCTACTTAGTTGCAACCTCTTTTGCTAGATCAATGTCTAAACATGGTGGGTCTGCTATACTTGTAAAAGAGAACCTAGACTTTATAATTTATGATAAGTTAAATTTGAGTATATTAGTGGAAGAACTCACGTTTGAAGCCTCAGCGGTGTACATCGTTAAGTACAAAACAGTGATTGTAAACTTCTACAGACCACCCTCAGGTAATGTTTCTTTATTTCTGGATAAACTGCATGATGTATTCTCAACTATGCATGGTGTGAAACTTGACTTCTTTTGCACAGGTGATTTTAACATAGACTTCCTGTCTGACAGCATTGAAGTCCGGGAACTTAAAAACCTAATATCTAGTTTTGGTCTTCACACTGCAATTAATGAAATCACTAGGCCTAATGTTGCAGCTGGAAGTGTAAACAAAGGTACCTGCTTGGACAATATTGTGACCTCAGTACACCCAGATAGATGGGAAGCCTCAGTTATACACACTCCTGTCTCAGATCATAATGCGGCCTTTCTGTCAATGAACATTGAGTCATATTCTAAATCTAATCCAATTTCTTTACCGAGAAAAGTTACTAGGAAATTAAATCCTCAGAATTCTTTAACATTTTTATCTAACCTTGGCCAGTTGAATTGGTTTGAACTGTATGACCATAGCCTAGACTTAAATGCTAAATTCAAAGTGTTTTTTGACAAACTGTTGTGGGCCTTAAATAGTTCGATTCCTTTGAAAACTGTCGGTTCTAACAACAAACCTAACAAAAGGTGGTATCATCAAGGACTTGTAAAAATGAAAAATGAGCTGGACCGGCTATATTTTTTGTTTTGTAATGCAGGGACTGCTGAAATTAAAACTAAGTACAACTCATTAAAGTTGCAGTACCGCAAAGAAATCAAGAAAGCCAAACTTGACCATAACAACAGTTTATTGCAAAACTCTAGTAATATTTCTAAAACATCCTGGTCAATCATTAATGAACTAAGCAACTGTAACAGTAAGCCTTTGTCTATTCCTGACTGCCTAACTGCCGATGGACTGAACTCTTACTTTGTCGACTGTGTTGAAAACCTGAGAAGTAATGTTCCCGCCTCTTCTAATGGTCCTGAGCAATATCTAAGTAATTTGACATCTTGCAACGTTCTTCCGACTATTGAGGACAACAATGCTTTTAGGCTTGAACTATTTACTGTAGAAGAGGTGTATGCAGCCATCAACAGTCTTAACAATAGCTCTTGTTTAGATATTTACGGAATTAATGTCCCCATCTTGAAGTTAGCTTCTAGTTACATAAGTGAAGTTTTGACATACCTATTTAATCTCTGTATAACACAAGGTTGCTACCCAAACAAGTTCAAGATTTCTAAGGTTATACCAGTCCATAAAAAGGGGCCTAAAAATGTTATTGCTAACTATAGGCCTATATCTATTATCCCTGCAGTGTCGAAGGTCTTGGAACATCTCGTACATCGTAGATTTTCTCAGTATCTTGAGGATAGTAACCTTTTAGCAAGTAGTCAGTTTGGCTTTAGGCCCAAACACAGCACTGTCCAAGCAACCCAGGCACTGATATCAAATTGCTTTCAAAGTTTAGAGGCCAAAAGTGGCATAGTGTTTAGATCGTACGACATGTCTAAGGCCTTTGACACAGTGGCTCATGATCTCCTTGTGGATAAGCTTTCTTGCTATAACCTTGATGCAGTTTTGGTTAAGTTCTTTCAATCTTATCTAAGTGACAGATGGCAAAAAGTCTATCTAAACGGCACTTATTCTAGCCCTGTTCGAGTGCCCCACGGAGTGCCCCAAGGCTCTATATTGGGCCCTACCCTGTTTATACTGTATATAAATGACTTACCTTGTAATATTAATGACTTATCTGTAAAAAGCTTTCTTTTTGCTGATGACTTGGCCTTGTGTGTACGGGGTAACTCTTTGAATGACGTTACAGATACATTGGATACAAAATCTGCTGTTATTAATGACTGGTGTAATGCAAACAAGTTATGTCTTAATGCTGATAAGACTCAAGACCTAACTATTAGTCTTAGCAGTAATGGTAATGATGTAAACACTCTGAAGTTTTTGGGTTTTCACTTGCAGTCAAACTTGAAGTGGTTTTCACATGTAGATTTTGTAGCTTCTAAGATTGTAAAAGGCATATTTATGATAAGAGCACTTAGATCCACTGTTTCAGTTGATGTCCTTATTTGTATATATTATGGCCACATTCATAGCTATTTGTCCTATGGTACCTCACTGTGGGCCAACAGTTTTTATACTAACAGGTTGCTCTTTACTTTACAAAAGAAGGCGGTGAGGTTAATTTGTAGTGTGAATAGAAGAACACATTGTAAGCCCCTTTTTGTGGGTCTTAACATTCTCACATTTCCATCTTTGTATGTTTTGGCAAGTTTGTTATATGTAAAAGAAAACATTTCTCACTTTGAAAAGATATCTGATGTGCACAACTACTGTACTAGATCAAAAGATAATCTGTCTACACTAAGGCATAAGTATACAGCCACTCAAAATAGTTTTGAGTACCAAGGTGTTAAAATGTACAATTTCTTGCCTGCATCCATCAAAAACCTGTGTGTTTTAAAATTCAAACATGCTATAAAAACTACTCTAACCCAGGCTTGCCTGTATAAACATGAAGAGTACTTTGGTTTAGAGTTTTAGATATTTTAGTTGCCAGAGCCATCTTGATTGTTTTGTTTTTATTTTGACGATTGTCATGAACTTTGTACATAGTTTTAACGACAATAAATCATTTCATTTCATTTCATTTCTATTTAATTATTCATTCTTTACATGTAAATATTGCTTCAATTTTTTTATACTTTTTTTTACATAGCAAATGATGAGAAGTTTTGTTAGTGTAAGCAGTGTGAGACATGTTTTACTACTGTAAACATAGCCAAAATAAGTCACTCCAAAACAAGACTTAAAAATTTTTACTTGATACTTCCCGACAACAAAAAGAAGTTTATATAGTGGGTTAGTAATTATGTTGTTTTTGATATTTTTCAAAGTTGAACTACATACTAACAGATATCTCCATGTTTCCTATGCTGAAGAGTTATTTTTAATAAGTTAGGCCTTATTAATACTTTTTTTATACTGATGTTTTTATTAATGTTTTTTAATAAAAGATTTAAAATATTTTTGTATATTTTTTGTAAAGTTTTTAAAACGTGTAAATATTTCTGAACTTAAAAAGTAGATAATAATTATTTTATAACTTTTCATTAAATCTCGTCCCGAAAAAAAATCCCGTCCCGCCAAAATTATAGAAATCTTGTCTCGCCTCGTGTCAAAGTGAAAAATCTAGTCTTGTCCATCACTAGTTCAGCTTTTACAAGCCATTATCGGGTTTAACAATGATATTTAATTTGGTGTTGTTAGTTGTTTTTACGTTTTTTCTTATTAGTTCTTGAAATTATTTTTATTTAGTGTAAGCATTGACTATTGCATACTGACATGCTGAGTAGACATCCTATCAATATGGACCAGCTTTTGCCAATTTGTATTAATAAAGAAACTAGTTGTTTGAGCCAGTCACAGAATGTGCTAGTGTCTAAAATTCCATTTTCGACCTTATTTTGGTTGCTAATTTGCTAACTTAGTTGATGTGTCATTACAGTTGCTATAGCACACTACAAGTCTATCAGTTGGAATTCAATTGGTAAAAAAATTTGTGTAATTCAACAGAAATTAGTAATTTAGATCAGCACAATCTGTTGCCTCACATCAACTATGACAATTTTTATTAAAAACTGGCGACACCATTAACATGAGGATGGAGTGTGGAGGTATCAATAGTCAAAGGTGTAAGGTACCGCAAGTAACATATTCAGTCAATACTCAATACATTGATTTTTCCTCAGGATACACCAACGGCTGGGCGCTAATGTCCGACATGCTGCTTCGACTGCCGCTCTCTCTCTTCATTCAACTGGTCAACGTGATGTACGAGATACCGGGCATCGAGGAATACTTGAACCATCCGATAAGAAAACACCTACTGGTTAAGAACCTACCACTCAGCTACAGATACGCTCTCACGTACGCTCGCAAGTAAGTCCAACCTCTACAGAAACATTTACTCTCCTAGGTCCAAGTAATCCTCGAGTCATCCATGGTGACTGGTTTTGTTGCATGTGGCATCATTTTCTAGCAAAAGACGTCAAATGTTCACATGTTGGAGGTGTTTAAGTTTTAAAAATACCTAACGCATACAGTCACACACAAACATAAACAAAAAAGGTCAAATGCCATACAAATATTAGGCTAATTATCGCATGTGAGTACAGCGTGCAGGCTTAGACTACCAGGCTATGACTCAAAACCGGTTGCCATAGACGTTTCAAAGATTACTTACTTGGACACAGTAAAGGTAACTTGGATCCTTGCAAATAAATAATGGTGAAGTAATTTGGAGGGCAATATACAGATTGAGTATCAGTATTTATTTTGTGTTCTATAGGTTTTTGACGAGCGAGTTAGACCAAACATAAATTGCTCATGCTGTTGTTTTGAAACTATTTACATGTTAGAAATTTATTTAGCCATCCAAGAACTTCGCTCCTGGCTGAAAAAATCACCAATCCGTTAAAAGATATACTTCTTATAGATTGGTCATTCATACTGTAGTTTTGTTCCGATTACGTAGAGGGCACTTAGTTGTTTTTGTTTACCCTATCTTTTATCGTTCAACCAACTTAAAATTAATTTTGACCAATAAGGCAATTTATATATAATCAACTAGCACATCCGTCGTGGATTTACCCACGACCATTAAATTAGAAAAAAGTAAATGTTGCATACGATACAATATAATCAACGGCAAGTAGATAAAAGATATGTCTAATAACACTTAAAACATATATTTACGCTTATACTGTTAACTCACAGGACGGTAAATATTTATATAAATAAAATTAAAATTAGAGTTTTGTCTGTATATTGCGTAGATAAATGTTTCAGTTATTTTTTTCATTTCATCAATCAATCAATCAATCAAATATTCTTTATTCAAGTTTAGGCAATTATCATTTATGGAAACTCACCAAGGTCAGGTTAAATCATTTCTGTTAAAAAATACAATTTTATTTAACTTTCACTACACTTTTGGTCTACATTGTCCAGCAGCAGTTCTCGACATGTTGTCTTCACAGGATCGTGTTGGAGCATCTCCTAAAAACTTATCGTCAATGTCAACAAACACTGTGGTGTTTTCAATCTCCGTGCTGTTTTCAGTCTTCACGGTGTTTTCAATATTCGTGGTGTTTTCAGTCTTCATGGTGTTTTCAATATTCATGTTGTTTTCAATATTTGTGGTGTTTTCACTCTTCGTTGTGTTTTCAATCTTTGTAATAATTCCAACCTTCACGTTTTCAACTTTCCCTGGTATGTTTTGAAAGTTCCCCCTGTTTAGAACAGTTTTTTCTTTCACTGAATCTTCACAAGCGTCACACAGGAGTTCACTCTGATTAATTGCTTTGCCGATGTTTTTAACTTTTGGTAAAGTCACCATTCCTTCACAGCTGACAAACACTAACAACAGCACAGCAGGCTTCATGGCTGCAACGGCTGAAAACAGGTTTTGTCTGGGTTGGGTAAATCACTGACCAGACTGCTGTTGCTGCTTGTTTCCTCTTGCCCAATTTGATAGGTCCAAGGACAAGGCAGGTTGCCATCACAATTATACAGCAGGCTCTCTCTTGATCACATGCATTCATCATTTCAGTTTCCTGTCAGTGTTTATTCATTCAGACTACTTGGAGATTTTGTTTTTCTTTGCTATAAATCTGTTTGGAAAAAAAACTTTGTAATTTTTCTTATTTATTTTTTTCATGAATATTTTATACTATCTAACAAATCTATATATAAAGCCAAAAGTACCCATGAACTTTTGAGAAAACTAAAAGTCACACCCCCATAAACCATATACTTAAAATGTTCGTCATGACAAGAAACCTTATCCATTATTTCATAAATTGCCCTATAAGATCGTAATTGCTTTCCTAAGGGAACTTTCCATTTACCTAATGTTAAAAATACCTCAGCTGTTATTATTTGTTTGTATTACCATTACTGTATTCTGTTTTGTTTATTTTATCTTAACTTAACCAATCAATAGTTTTATTAATACTAATGTAGTAAAACGGGGTGGAGCCCGTGGGTAACAGCTAGTTGAATTTCATTATTGTTTTTTCAAAACATTTAGTTCATGGGACTGATGATAACAGTATGGGTAAAAAAAACAAAAAAAAACTAAAAAAAAAAACTATGCCAAACTTTAAAAATTTATATTTATTTTTGTAAAAAATAACTTTGGAAATTAAATTTTGGAATGAATAAAAAAATATTTTCCTTAGAAAATTAAAGTACATAATCAAAGGAGATCATTTTATTTTCACTCAAACCAATTTATTTACTTGATTTTTTTATATAGTTTTGTTTACTTGAATAAAAAGAATGTTTTAACAAAATCTAACGTCTGTTGAATAACAAGCCAGAGGAAGTTTATGGTAAGATGACCAGTAAGTTTGCATCAATGACATTCAAACCTGTTTTGGAATGCATCTCCACTCAACACAGTGTTGAATGTTGAAAATAACTGCCACATAGACCCACGCCGATTTTTGCATAACATCTTATAAATTAATAGTTATGGATGTAAAATAATTTTTGTTCAACATACCGTCTATAATTGGTTAAGTAAGAAACCCTAACATGTGTATTTTTAATTGGTGTATTTTATATTTTTTATATAAATGTTTAACCTACCTTATTTGAAAGTTTGAATTTATAGTTTTACTATTTTGTAGTAATGACTACATTGTCAATCATTTTGAAACTAAATAAATGTCCTGAGAAATAGGTCCAGAAACAATACAAATTATCCTTTTGAATCATTGTTATTCGTACTATCATTGACTATTTATTAGTCAAAGCTACTATCTACTTTATTACCTACTTTGTTAACAAAATATGACCCAAATTAAACTTGAAGAATTATTACAACTCAATTTTACAACTAAAAAATAGAAATCTTACACTGTAGGCCTAATGAATTTTTTGCCACACTACAACACTGTTTTAAATGACTCTCCAGTCCCCACTCATGAATGTAGTTAAAAAAATTGCTGTTTGCCGCCCGCTTAATCGAATAGGGTTTCATTACGTACTTCTGTACTTAAATGAATTTTTTTTTACTAGACGAAATGTGAACAATATTGTACATCACTCGTCCATAAGCGCAGGAAAAACTATACTCGTCCTGTAAACACCTGTTTTCCGTACTAGTAACGTAATATACTTTTATAATTGAAAACACATTTACTTTTATGAAGTTTTGGAACATGGTTTGAAAAAAATTGTAAACCGGTTTTACGATGAATTATTTTGTCACTTTAAAATACAACCTCCTACAACAATGCTGTGTGGTGTGACATCTGATTTACTATGCCACAGTTTTAGGCTATACAGTAGACTTTATTTTATTTGAATATTTATTTGGAACGCTTTCAATTAACTTTTTTTGTTGCCATTTATAGTTTCAACCAAGTTTAGTTCAAACTATCAAACTAACCTCAATGTTATTTCAGGCATCCACACTTTGATTGACTTTTTATGGGGCCAATTATACATCTCAACTAAATTTGCTACAGTTGAAATACACAGTAGTTTGAAAGCTGTTTATACTTTTTCTAGAATGTTTTGAATTCTTCCTTCCTGCCAGTCTGAAAGTGAGTGCTACTTAGCTTCATAAGTTTCTACTGAAACTCAATTTCAATCAACCAAAGCTAAATTTCAGAAGTACAGTAAAACTCCGGTTAACCGAATTCAGGTTAACTGAAAGGGTTCCATAAAATAATACAGGGCTAAAATGTTTTAATATGTACTGTTAAATGTCTCAGTAACCCCAGTTGTTTAGTTTAAATCATTATATAACCCATTTAAAATTGTTGAAATTGTTTTAAATTAATTTTTCCTACACACCGTGGTAATGATTAGGCTATATTTAGCATATGACAATTGAAACGGCTCTCCCCCCCTGTATTATTTCGGTTAACCGGGATTCTGTAATAGTACAAAATAAGTACGTTACCCAACGTATAATAAGTAATATTCCATTACTTGTTTTAGATACATCTTCACCATACACGAGCAGGTGATCAGACTTTGTTGCACGGGACTCTTGCAGATGGGACCTCAGCGACTGAAGGAGAAGGACCAGGTGACCAAACTGTGTTGAATTATCTAGTAGATTTAATCTCGGTTAAAATGTGTCTGGGTAAGTGGAAGGTATTTATTGTTCAATGTACATAAAAATTAATAAAGATAATTGAATTGAATTGACTATTTTTCATTAAAAAGTAGATAACCGATGAACATGAAGAAAAATATACAAAATACATTCTGCGGTAACTTAACACGTTATTAAACACAGCAATTTAATTTTAGCATTTATTTGAATTTTGTAAACGATTATTATATAATTAATAACATTAACAATCATTGACAAAATGTAAACAGATGCTTGAATATGTCGCTATGTTGAAGTATTTGTGTATCGCTATGGCAGGTATTTGTGTACCTGAACCGTTGTGCTCTACTGTGGGACACAACGTCTTCTCCTTTGAGGCTATCATCAGATAGATAAGGAACAGCAGTATCCTGTACACCATTACCACTTCCAGACTCTCGTAGATGTTGATAATCGTCCACTTATACTGACTGATGATTGTGGCAGGTTTTTGTGTACCTGAACCGTCATGCTCTACTGTGGGATACGTCTTCTCCTTGTGACTATAATCAGATAGATAATGAACAGCAGTAACCTGTACACCAATACCACTTCCAGACTCTGGTAGATGTTGATAATCGTCCACTTATACTGACTGATGATTGTGGCAGGTATTTGTGTACCTGAACCGTCGTGCTCTACTGTGGGACACAACGTCTTCTCCTTGTGGCTATCATCAGATAGATAAGGAACAGCAGTACCCTGTACACCAATACCACTTCCAGACTCTGGTAGATGTTGATAATCGTCCACTTATACTGACTGATGATTGTGGCAGGTATTTGTGTACCTGAACCGTCGTGCTCTACTGTGGGACACAACGTCTTCTCCTTGTGGCTATCATCAGATAGATAAGGAACAGCAGTACCCTGTACACCAATACCACTTCCAGACTCTGGTAGATGTTGATAATTGTCCACTTATACTGACTGATGATTGTGGCAGGTATTTGTGTACCTGAACCGTCGTGCTCTACTGTGGGACACAACGTCTTCTCCTTGTGGCTATCATCAGATAGATAAGGAACAGCAGTACCCTGTACACCATTACCACTTGCAGACTCTGGCGGATGTAGAGCAGTATTGGTATGACCTGTGGAACTTCTGTATGCACACTATGCTGGGTAAGCTCGACTAGTAATTATTATATAATTATTTATTTTGTAACTGCATACAGACCTTTCACCATTTATTTATCACTTAGCTGCATAATGTCTCAATATTAAAATAATTAGTTCAGTTTTTGTGTGCAGCAAATCGAGCCCTAAATATTTATTTCTATAGGTATATTGAATATTAATTTAAATTAATATCCTCTAGATGTGCATTTTAGGGGTTTGGATGATAATCTGTGAAAGCCATTTGTCTTATAGTCTTTTACAGTTTCATAGCCTGTGCTGAATTCTGTCGTCAATCATCTGAACTTTTTTGTGAATGAAACATCTTAATCACATTGCCATGAGTTATCCCTCTGATGCTTGAAGGATATCTCTTGGCATATTTTCCAGAGCAGGTTCTAATTGGAAGACTACAGGCCTTAATCGGATGCCTGAATTTGTAAGGTCTATTAAGGAAACAATTGTCTGGGGTGTGCAATAATTCGATTTTTCGGATGAAGTGCTTTATGGTCTCAGCCTGCCCCTGTTAGGTAAGATAAGATAAGATAGTGAATGGAATTGAAGTAAGACTTGAGACACATTGAGTGTCAGTGGTTTGGTAGCTAAGTAACTCTTGTTGGCAGGGGGCAGAATGTGTGTGGCAGGCAAAGAGGTTGTGGTGGAAGGACTGCAGAACAAACCTGAGATGGTGGAAGCAGTGGAATCCCAATCAGTAGAGGAGGCGGTGGAGAGAGACGTTGGTTATCTGCCTGGCGATCATCTAGGAGCAGCTGGCTTTGACTCTGCTATGTTTGCGTGAGTACTCTTGTGATGCGCTATTGGTTTATATGTGTATTTATTTCTTCAAAATTGACTCTTTGTGATTGGAAATAATATTTTTGGTTGGGAGGCTAGCTGTACTGGCTACGATCTTTTGTATTGGCTCCGATACATTTGTACATTAGTTGCCCTTGCACCTTGGACCCTGCTCTGAAGGCCAGTAGCACTGGCCTAAAAATTGGTTTTTTGCAAAATCTTTGATTTGATGAAAGAATTTGGTATGGAGAATCTCCAAGCACACAAGTGTCATAGACAGTTGTCCTTGAAACAATTCCGCAATTCTTATATTGTGATTCAACAGCTGGATAGCTGAGTGGTTATAGTGCCTGGAAATCTAAAGCTAGGTTTCCAAGATCACGCCGGGCGGACAGCGTGAGTGGACAAGCGTGATTATGAAATCAAGTTTAAATTGAAACCATGTTTTTATATCATTGCGGTTTCCAAGCACGAGCGATCACGCCAGACATGAGTTTTCCCGCCATCTGTCCGGCGTGAGTCCTGAGCGTGGCACGCTAAAAATGACCCCAGTCATTTGTGGCGTGAACGCCGAGCGTATAGGACTCTGTGAGGATTCTTGTAAAAATGTAAAAATCACGCTTAGTTTATTTCGGTGTGATAGTAATAAAAGTAAAATTTATTTAATAAAACTGTAACTATCATCCTATATTGATTTTATTCTTTTCAGTGATATTGTAATAGAATCCAATTGCTTTGAACAAATGGTTTGTTTTTTTATTGTAACCAAAACTATTTTCATGGCTCTCTTTGTTTCTAGAACCAGATGGTTGAGCTATGTTTGGTAGTTATTTGACTTATTTTGAGGATTATAAAGTTGTTTTAATAACTCCGATGTTAATTCAAACAGTTTTGACAATTTAGTATACATTTAGTTGGTTTGTAAATGTCTCATTTATATGCAATTTTTTGTCATTGTTGACAACTAGCTCATTTCCCAAGAGAAATAACCGCAAATGTCCGCTTTCTTGCAAACCACTCTCACGCCGAGCTTCATCGGACATCCGCAGGACAAAAATTAGTGCCAACGGACATCACGTCGGACAGATCACGCTGGCGTGATCTTGGAAACCCTAGCTTAAAGGTCACCGGTTCAATCCTGATAAAAATTTAGTATCTCTTCTGAAGATTTGAAACTAGACCTAGCTGTCCCTGATCATTGGGCTTTTAATAAATGGCATTTGCTAATGAAACAGCTAATTTTAGTCGTTATCAAAGCTACCAAGTACTGCATTCTTCACTAATATATGATCAAAACCAACTTTGAAATTGTAAAAGTTATAAATAAAAGTTGTGTTTGTTTCTTCAATAGTTATTTTCATACCTGTTAACAGACACTTAAAGCGGAATTGGTACTGGAACACATCAAAAACTGGAACAGGACCTAGATCTGCCCCTGCACCCGTAAGTAACCAAATATGAATATAATTAAAGAAACGTTGATAAGTTTTTGAAGCAAATCATATTAATGAACAGGGTTGTGGATTGTTGTATGAGACAGATATGCAATTACAGTAGACCCTCGATAACAAGACCTTTGATAACAAGTTCCTTGATTACAAGGGTCATTTTCAGATCTGCTTGAAATTATTTTACCCCTAATCACATGTTATTGCAAACCTTATCAACCTTAAAATAAGTCTTATTTTATAATCCCTATGAGAGTCTTGTTATCAAGATTCTACTGTACAAAATAATGTTATATTTGAGCTGTCTAAAATTATGTTCAAACATGAATATAAAATATATGTTTTTCTAGAATTTTCAATAAAACTGAGTTGTTTACTTACTGGACAATCTTCAAATTTGTCCGTACTTCAATTGAAGTGGTTTTATTTTTGATATGTTTTCTATATTTTTCAGGCACCAACTACTGACCTTCAACCAGTACTCAACCTACACAAGGTAAGGTTATATCATCTCTAAATTTGCCATAGAGTAGAAGTATTGCAGATAGGGCTAGTGAAGTTTAATTTCTCTTTCATTAGCCTATAAAACCAAAAGTGGAATAAAAAAAGAAAATCACATTTTTTCTTTAAGAAAAGTATATTAGTTTTATTTTTTTATTAAACATATTAACTTAAATGTACACGTCAAATATTTTGTTCCTAAATATTTTCAGTTTGGTTCAGAAAGTACACAAACACCTTATACACGTAGATCCATACCAGAAAAACCTTTATTCTTGGTGTGTGTATGTGGTTTACCAACTGAATACCTTTTCCAGCATAAAGAGGACCGTAAACAGTCTTTGAAAACTGTGAGGGTGATCTCGGAAACCAGCAGTGCAAGGAGACGAGGGAGGAGGGAGAGCAAGTCGGAGCCAAAGGGAAGTCAGAAACAGATGAAGAAGAAGCTTCTGATCAAGAAGACTGTGCGGATGTTACAAAACAGACGAGCCAGTATGAGGAAACCTTACTACGACCAGGTCGACCGAGAGGCTCTGCTGAAGATGAGTAAACTGTAGGTATTAATCTTACTTATTTTAAATGAAGTACCAGGTGTCCACAAAGGTTTAATATTCGTGTAAGCCATGCTGATACTTTTTGACATACCCTGTTTGTGTTGGTTGGCTTGGCCACATGGTTAGGTTCAGTTTTAACAATAATCGTTGACCAATTTGTGTATTGGAGGTGTGTGAACCTCAAATTATTGATCGAGCAATTAGAAAAAAGATTGAGCCTCATCCCATTTCACTTCCGCAGTCAACTCTTGAATATCTCCCGAGGTCATAAAGACATCATTACCGTACTCCTCGATCATGGACAAATCGCAGAACTCCCCCGCAGTCATGTAAAGATCATCATCGGCTCCCACAATTTTGCTAACGTTTTTGTCGTTAACAGCAATTAATTGTGGCTTAAGTGTTGATTTTTCAATCAAACGATCTTTGTAGGTCAAGTAATGGCCTCCTTGTTTTCGAAGTATCAGCACCTGTGATTTCTTCTTATACTAAAATCTATGTGGATGGAATAAAAGAGAAAATCGTAGAAGAACTTTCACCGAGAAGCTGGAAAACACAAAGATGAACTTGACCATGTTTTTGATGTAGTGTGTGGGAACAATAGCGACCTTGTGCAAACCTAATCTTCAGCCCTGATCTTCAGGGGCCGAATTTGTGTTTTCAATGCACAATAAGCTTAACAATCAATGATGCCTTTCTTAACAGCAAGTGAAATTGTATTAGTAATTTCTACTTTGTAGAGACCTGGTAAAAACTGTTTCAAATTGTTTTTTACTTGAATTTATTCCAAAGAAAAGTTTGAAGGGACACAATCATTTTAAAATAAAACAATATAATATATGTTTGAAGATTTCTTTGACTGTTGAATCCGTTTAATGATTTGAGTGTGCAAATGAAATTAATTGGTCACTATTCAACATCTTTGTATCATTTGTATATTTTTTTCTTGATGTTTGTGTACAAAAAACAAATGTAAACCTACAATTTATTGTTAGATTTTTTAAATCACTTGAACTATGTATGAAAAATAAATTCACTAGCTCAAGAACACTTATATGTAAAAGTATTTTGTTTATGTTCAATTCACTTTTATGAGCTATTTTGCACTTGTTGATCTTTCACCACCAAATTGGTTTATTTAGTCAATTGCTCAGCACTATCTATATTTTACTATTATGCTTGGGTATTTTTAATGCCTTGCCTCACATAAACTATTGTAAAATATACAACATCATGTGATTTTGTTTAGACGGGTTGATTGGTCGCCCAAAGAAGACAACTTGTTGTTGCTGTGCAAAGTGGCTTTTGTGATATTCCAGAACATCGGCAAACGCTATCAGAATCTCATCACTGTGAGGCAGTTGCTACATGATCAATATCCTGTAAGTTTTTTTTTTAGCAAGCTAGTTATCTGACACTGTGCCATGTTCTTTACATCATCCACTAATATTCCATCCTGTTACCACTGCTGTGCAATGATTAGTTTTGTCATAATAACCAATACCAATGTTAGGGAAAATAAATGCTCCCTCCAAGCAAATTATATCAGAATTATAGATTCCAGATGAAGATAACTATTTGTATTGAACATCTCTACTCAAATCAACACGTTTTCAAATAATCAAATCCAAATGTAGGAATCAATGTTTACAATGGCTTAATATTCTTATTATTATAAAAACTTAATATCTAATTTTTTACTGGGTTATTCTTTTTTTTTTCTTTTGGAAATGATTCCAAAAAAACGTAAGTTTAACACAATTTGCATACATGACACAAATAGACAACAAATTAACAAAAATTATAAAATATGAGGTATTTTTGGATTAGAGATTGAAGGAAGATGTTTCATACAGCATATAACAGAAATCCTGAGCTTTTAATAAATGGACTGTGATTTATGACTACTACCACTGTGGCCTGTGTCTGGACCAGTCCTGATGTTTGGTTAAGTCTTACAAAGCTTCACAATACATCTTACTCCATTCTATACTCATCCTCCATACATATATGCCCAGTTTTCTCTCCATCACTATTGGTGTTGTTGATAATAACAATTCCTTAACTTGAACAATTTAATCAAGAAACGTTAACTGTTATCATTATTTTTCGATTGTTTGTATTTTAAAATTTTACTCTCATTTTATGTGATTATTGTTGCTGCTTGGTTTGAGTTTACTGGTTTAGTCGAGGTTCCTTCTTATTCTAAGATGGGACAAACTATAAATACTGAAAAATGTAAATACTATAAATTCTGGTTTGAAGCAAATGGCCTCCTTTTGAATACCAATAAAACTCAACAAATATGTTTTTCCTTGTGCCAGTTTGATGTTCAATCTGATGTAGTTGTAGATTCTGTCGTTAAGCTCTTAGGTATTACTGTTGACACCAAACTTACATGGGATTCTCACATACAGAATGTTTGTACCAGACTATCTAGAGTGATTTCTCTTTTGTGGCATTTAAAGAAGCTGATCCCTAAAGTGTACCTGAAAAATGTGTATTATGCTTTGTTTAATGGAATAATTTCTTATGGCATTCGTCTGTGGGGGAATGGCCACAGTATTGATAAAGTCTTGCGCTTACAAAAAAAGGCGATGCGTATAATCACACACTCAGCTTTTAAAGCACACTGTAAACCACTCTTTGTCAGCGAAGGAATTTTGACAGTGATTAACCAGTATATTTATGTTTGCCTGTTGCATGTTAAGCAACATCTGCATGAGTATCCACTCAGAAGTAGTGTGCATGGTTATTGCACTAGAAGCATGTCCTCACTCAATCAGCCTTATGTTCGTTTGAGTAAATCACAATCCCAGCATCGCACTATGTACATTAATCTATTTAATAAGTTGCCTGTTTCTGCACATAATGTATCTTTCACTAAGTTTAAGTTGTCTGTTTACAATTGGTTGGTTGCAAGGCCATTTTACAAGCTCGATGAATTCTTTGTATTGCCTGTTGATATTCAATTTTAAATTCTGTCTGTCTGTGATATAGCCAAGGGCTGAGTTGTTTTATAAGTTATTTATCTGTCTCTTTGTTAGTATTGTCTTTAAATTTTATACTCTTTTCTTGCCCCTGCTATGTTTTTTTTTTTCTAACTTATTTTAAACACACTGCATTTATTGTATACACATTGCACCTGTTTTCATGTTTTCTCTAGTCTTTGCATACCTATGTTTTTTATAAACTTCAGTATTTTATTTTTAAGATGATTGTGATACTTTTTGCATGTACTCTGCACTTGTTTATATTTTATTGTCTATATTTATTTAGCCTTATTGCCTGTAAACTTTAGGCTACTATTATGACGTTCATCCATTGCATGTGTTGTACATAGCGTTAACGATGAATAAAAATTCTTGATTCTTGATTCTTGATTCTTGATTCTGAAACCACTTGAAACGTCTGTTTTTTTGATTAGCAATAAAAATGCCTGCCTCAGTCCTTTAGGTTGGACTACTACAAATACTTGTTTTATATTTTGTTGTATGTGTGAACAACATTATTTTACGTCTACTACCACTAACTCAACTCCGAATCAGTTCTGATCCGTCCTAGCTCCGAATCATATTGAACCGTAAACCTACAATAGTCATTTTGGTTTTGTTTGTAAACATATGGTTTTAATAAATAATTTAAACTAATCTCTAAGTATTCTCAAAAGTATACTTACTTGGCTCTCATTGTAATTTCTACTTGATAAAATATTATCTGTGTGGTTCTCTATTGAATGTTTTCTTCTAGGAATCTACTGACAAAACGTCAAGAGCTTGTCAGAGGAGACTCAACTACATAATGAAAAACAGCCAGACGCAACGCAGCGTGAACCTGTGTGTGGAGGAAATGAAACAAGACAATGTTGTGATGAATCAGCTGCAGGTACGAACCTAGGCTCCAGCCCGCAATATTTTTACCATTACTTCAAGCTAGGGTTTGAGGTGGCAGCGTCATCATTTGGGCAAAATCCATTGCATATTGGCGGGATATAAACCTGGGATCTCGGTGACCGAAATCCCACGCTCAATTGGTTTAATTTATTTTACTCCAATAACAAATTGTAATACCTGTAACAAAAATTGAAATGGATAAGGAGAAGGGAGGAGGAGTGGACCAGGAGCTTCAAGGAGTTGTTGTTGCTCCTGCAGTAACAGCTGTCTATATGTCACTGCAGGGTCTAGTGGAGGTGATGAAGTCAGAGGCCAAGGTCAAGCTGCCAGCAGCCAAGAGGGAGGAGGAGTGGACCAGGAGTTTCAAGGAGTTGGTATTGCTGCTGCAAGAGCGCTACAAGAAGTTGCATAGTCAAGAGTTGAGTGGAGTTGGTGAAGGCTTCACTTTGCCTGACACAGTTGATCAGCTGTTGTAAGTATAACATCAAAATAGTTCCAGTTTTTATTTTCCTTGTAATTGCACTCACTTTTACATCTTAGTATTTTAAATTTGGACCACAAACTCCTTCCTATAATGTCATGCTCGTTTTGAGAGTAAGCCTATTGATTAGCAAGACTGATTATAAATCGATAGCTATATATTTGATATATTCACTTTCTTTCTTATTAATATTTTTACAGTGTGTATTAAAAATAGTTTATTTTTATTAAGTTATATTAGCTGAGGTCCGTGTTACTTCTTAGAAGAGCAGTGTTGGCATGTGTACCTAACTACCTAGAGCAGTATATTTTTTGGAGAAAATATCTTTGAAAATTAGATTTTTTTAAATTGACTCTCAAATGATAATTATTCCACAGTGAGAACTACCGAGTATTGAGACCACAAAAATTCAGGAAGAGGAGTTTCAACCCAATCCATGTTGTCACTGACATTCATGCTGGAGTGATCAATGCCACAATACTGGTAAGCAGCTAGTAGTAGTTCTAGATTTATTTCACACACCTGAGCTGTGTTTCTTTGGTGATGATTTAGTTGTTTATGTCAGTTTTTAATTTATCTGCTGCCATTTACAAATCAGATGCCCTTCTTGGGGTAAACTTTTACAATAACACAATTGTTATCCAATAATTGACTTCTGTTATTACGTTGAAAGTTGTTGAGTTGAGTCATGTCTGAGTAATTGTTTGGTTTCCAGAGTTCCCTGAACTGTGTTGGTGACAAGACATCATGGTCCTACCAGCTGTTCAACATATACCAGCAATACCCTGACAAGTTGTTGCGCTCAGTCATGTCTAAGTAATTGTTTGGTTTCCAGAGTTCCCTGAACTGTGTTGGTGACAAGACATCATGGTCCTACCAGCTGTTCAACATATACCAGCAATACCCTGACAAGTTGTTGCGCTCAGTCATGTCTAAGTAATTGTTTGGTTTCCAGAGTTCCCTGAACTGTGTTGGTGACAAGACATCATGGTCCTACCAGCTGTTCAACATATACCAGCAATACCCTGACAAGTTGTTGCGCTCAGTCATGTCTAAGACCCGAGCAGACCAGATGGTGTCTCTTCGTAAGCGCTACCTCCGCACTCATGTTCGCCAGGTAATGTATATTGGTGGTTTCACATTTTTCCTTGCTAGAGTTGTTCAGCAAGTGAATGTTTCAGACAAACTGTTTTTGAATCTATTATCACAAAGCTATAAAATCTGAGGGCAAATTACCATTCTGGAGGGGTTTTTTTAAACTCATGATCGGAAATATTTGTTAAATCTTAAAGTTTATCTATTTAAAAAAATGATTCATTTTGCTGTATGAGAAAAATACATTCAACATTAAATATAAACTAGTTTCTTCTAGTTTTATTTTTAAATTTGTTCTTCGATTTGGAAATCAGTTGAAAGAATTTGTTATTGTTTCAGGGCGATTATCTTCCATTGTCCTCTAGTCCTTATCAACTCTCTATCAGGTTTGTATACATTTATTTGTAATGTTGTATGTTAGTTAAACACTTGTTCACTTCTTTATTTTGAAGAATTTACTTTCAAGCCATAGATGTTATATCTAAAGCTTTTTGTTTATTATTCTCTTTCTTAATTTTACTAACAATACAAGCAATTGTTCTCGTTAATGCAATTACAATCATGAGGCACTACTTGATAGCAAACATCAATCCGCAGTGTAATTGTCCAAACTCTATATAAAGCTAAGATCACTTTAAGCAACACACCGGGGCTTACTGACACGGCAGAATAAACATTGGCAGACTGATGTGCCGGAATTGAAACTCAAATCCAGTTGAGATTATTGCATCTGTCTAGTTCTCCCTCAGTGAACGATGATGTGATGTTTACAAATCAGTTGTGACCCACAAACGTACTATAGTAAATTTCCTTTGCAGCTACATCAACCTGCTGCTGACCAGATACCAGTACGAGCTGTATGGTGATTGTTTGGAGATGTACCACAGACTGGTGGACTCCAGCAGAGAAGCTGACTACTTTGAGGAGGTGGTTGCTGCCAAGGGAGGGATAGCTGCTTGTGTCGTAGAGTTTGCTACCCAAGGCAAGGTTAGATGCCATTTAAGACAGCATTTCTTAGAAAATACGGTCTTAAATCTTGTATACACACAACAACAACACACACACAATTAAAAATTTATTCAAAAATAATTTCCAAGCTGGTTCATAGTCAGGACATTCTATTTGCAAGTTTATAATACTAAATTTTCCTACCAAGTGTGAAGCCTTGTATTTTATCTTTAAGTCACATGGATTTTTTAAACTTCTTTGCTTCAAAAAGAACTTCTTTTCCAAACACCGCATCCAGTTTGGATGAATAAATTTCTTTTGTTTCGATAACATTTTGTGAGAATCGGGTTTTCATGTAAGGATTGTGAATAGTACCCTGTCTCTGTAGTTTTACTTAACAATAACATTTGAGACAGAAATTGTATCTTTGATCAACAATTCTATCTTTGTACTGTATTCAAGCCAAATCCTTCATTATAGCCTATTAGTCTGGATAATAGTATCATAACAAAATTTTTTATCAAATGCATTTAAAAACATTTCATATTGTAATTGTTGGTGAAATACTTAGGAAAGAAAATGTCATAAGTTGCCAAGTCACAAAGAGATCTTTCTATTGGTTCTCTTCTTTAAATATTCCTCAACCAAGAATACACTATCCTTCAGCTATGCTATAAACCATTAATTTTCACAGATTATTTCTTAACTAATTCGTTGAAACAGGAAATTATACCAGAAATTAGTATCTTGGGATCAAATTTGTATGGTCTTTATTCAGTTTCAAGAAATAGTTAACTTGAAATAACAGTGTCTGTGCTCTTCTTAGGTCAGCCTCTAAGATAATGTTTTATCAATTTGTGTCACTGGATTGGATTTTAAATGAATGACTTAATTTGTGTCACTAATACTTATTCAGGAATATGTTTATGTTTAAGAGCTTATTGGAAGTTAAAACTTATAATTTTTAAGTTATTTGACATGATTTGAAAGTGAACTATTACAGTTAAATACTTTTCAGATTGACTTCAAGCTGGATATCCCTGACCAAATAATTGTTATGGACCCGAATGTGATTCAGAAAGATGAAACGTACACTCGGATTGTACAGGTAAAGTTTTGCTTTCCAAACAAACACTTTGGTATTTTTTGTGGAGGTCTCTTTCATGAAAGAGATTCCAAGTAATGTATGTGAGTTGTAAAGTTGTTACATATCGTCCTATCAACGACTAACTTTAAAAAAACTGTAATATTTTAAACCTTATTGTTTAGTTTGATTTTTTCAGCGCTATCAAGATATCCTCACCAAATGCAAGGAGCCACAAGTTACCATGACTCATATATTCGACGATTCTTACTCTTCCATTTCTCAAGATACGTGAGTAAATTAATTAATATAGACTAATTTCAAGTAACCTCATTCCGTTTTAGTTTTTCAAAATGTGAGTTTAGTACACAAGGCTGCATAATTGACTTTAGACACTGCAAGTCTGAAAGTCTCTCATTCTGTTGTGAAGTCTGATGCTTGTAGTGATATGTGATTCATATCTGGTTATATTCTTATTCTTACTAAATGTATATCTCTTATGTTATGTAAGATTTTTGTGCACGATTGAATATTTGGTTTTAAATATTCCCCAGTTGCAGTAAAATTTAGAAAAGGCTCCTTTGGTCCTGCTGAGATGGTTATCAACTCCCGCAGTTGCGCCAAATTTGAGAATGTTCTGCAACTCAATCTTTAAAGTCACTTTCTGTAATCTTGATAAAAGTGTGGCTCGGCTAGGGTTAACCTTTGTCTGTGACAGTGAGATGATGGAGGACGAGCTGGCGGTCCCGGCACAGAACACATTGGCCAAGGCTGCCACCCGGATAGCTCTGTACCTGACCAGAGAAGAGTGTGACAAGACAATGGAGCAGAAAGAGATCCAACATGCACATGACTTCTTTGTGGTCAACGCCACCAGAGTGAGTGAATATCTTTTATTAATTTTGTTTTAGTTGTTTCAACAAGGGTGCAAATCCTGGGTTTGTCACTACCTGACCTTTTGTATGGTAGCATCAATAGCCCAATGAAATGTGACGTATGAGTCCCCACTTGGGATCGTACCAGTAGCCTGAAGGCCATCAAAACCACTTGGTTACCGACACAATAGCTGCAGTCTATTTATTCTACTGTGAGTTGATATTCTACTAAGAATGTTGTACCATTTATCTCTTTAAGTTGAGCTTAATTTTGACAGGGTGTCTAGTAGTCGGGAAAATCGGGAAAGTCGGGAATTAGTATTGAATTAAAAAATGGTCTTGAAAGTCGGGATTTAGTCTTAAATTTGATTTCAAAGTCGGGAATTTTCATGATTTTGCCGCGATCGTCGTCTTGGGTTTACGTAACCGCGAATGATGTCTACAAGGCCTCGGGAAATATACACGATTTTGCCGCGATAGTGGACGACGACGATGACGTTTCTGAAACCACGGGAGACGACGATGACGTTTCTGTGACAGCGGGAGAAGACGATGACGTTTCCGTGACCGCAGGAGATGACGATGACGTTTCCGTGACCGCGGGAGATGACGTTGATGTTTCCACCGGCGAGGGAAATGTTCTCATGATTTTGCCACGATCGCGGAGGACGACGATAACGTTTCCGTGACCGCGGGAGATGACGGTGATGTCTAAACAGCCGCGGGAAATTTTCATGATTTTGCCACGATCTCGGACGACGACGATGACGTTTCCGTGACCGCGGGAGACGACGATGACGTTTCCGTGACCGCGGGAGACGACGATGATATCTGCTGGGCCGCGGGAAATGTTCATGATTTTGCCGCGATCGCGGACGACGACGATGACGCGTACGTGACCGCGGGAGATGACGATGACGTTTCCGTGATCGCGGGAGATGACGATGACGTTTCCGTGACCGCGGGAGATGACGGTGATGTCTAAACAGCCGCGGGAAATTTTCATGATTTTGCCACGATCTCGGACGACGACGATGACGTTTCCGTGACCGCGGGAGACGACGATGATATCTGCTGGGCCGCGGGAAATGTTCATGATTTTGCCGCGATCGCGGACGACGACGATGACGCGTACGTGACCGCGGGAGATGACGATGACGTTTCCGTGATCGCGGGAGATGACGATGACGTTTCCGTGACCGCGGGAGACGACGATGACGTTTCCGTGACCGCGGGAGACGACGATGATATCTGCTCGGCCGCGGGAAATGTTCATGATTTTGCCGTGATTGCGGACGTCGACGATAACGTTTCCGTGACCGCGGGAGATGACGGTGTTGTCTAAACAGCCGCGGGAAATGTTCATGATTTTGCCGCGATCGCGGATGATGATGACGTTTCCGTGACCGCGGGAGACGACGATGATATCTGCTCGGTCGTGGGAAATGTTCATGATTTTGTCGCGATCGCGGGAGATGACGATGACGTTTCCGTGACCGCGGGAGATGACGATGACGTTTCCGTGACCGTGGGAGACGACAATGACGTTTCCGTGACAGCGGGAGACGACGATGGTATCTGCTCGGCCGCGGGAAATGTTCATGATTTTGTCGTGATCGCGGACGACGACGATGATGTTTCCGTGACCGCGGGAGACGACGATGATGTCTACACGGCTGCGGGAAATGTTCATGATTTTGCCGTGATTGCGGACGTCGACGATAACATTTCCGTGACCGCGGGAGATGACGGTGATGTCTTAAACAGCCGCGGGAAATGTTCATGATTTTGCCGCGATCGCGGATGATGATGACGTTTCCGTGACCGCGGGAGACGACGATGATATCTGCTCGGTCGCGGGAAATGTTCATGATTTTGTCGCGATCGCGGGAGATGACGATGACGTTTCCGTGACCGCGGGAGATGATGATGACGTTTCCGTGACCGTGGGAGACGACAATGACGTTTCCGTGACAGCAGGAAACGACGATGGTATCTGCTCGGCCGCGGGAAATGTTCATGATTTTGTCGCGATCGCGGACAACGACGATGATGTTTCCGTGACCGCGGGTGACGACGATGATAGCTACACAGCCGCGGGAAATGTTCATGATTTTGCCGTGATTGCGGACGTCGACGATAACGTTTCCGTGACCGCGGGAGATGAAGGTGATGTCTAAACAGCCGCGGGAATTGTTCATGATTTTGCCGCGATCACGGATGATGACGATGACGTTTCCGAGACCGCGGGAGACGACGATGATGTCATTGATGTCTACAAGGCCGCGGGAAACGTTCATGATTTTGCCGTGATTGCAATGATGATGTCTAAACGTACGGTATGTGGAAGATTTCATGATAAAAAAACCAAATTTGCTAGTTAGAATTTTTTATTACTGCATAATTTCTTTACTTGAAAACACCACATTATCATAATACTACTTTATGACAAAGACAGGGGTTGGTGTAGTATTATTTAGAAAATTTGTTTAAGCTATAAAAAGAATCGAGAATCGATTCATTTTGGTATCAACACCCACTAATTGTTGAAAAAACTAGTCTTGAAAAATCTGGAATTAGTCTTGAAAAGTCTGGAATTAGTCTTGAATTTTATAATGGAAATAAACTAGACACCCTGTTTTGATCATAGTTAATTGAATTAGTGAAACGTCTATATTTTTTTTAGTAAGAGGCTGATGGCTTCTTTTAACTTTGCATTTTCACATAGACCTCGGGCCCGTGCGTGTAGCATATCTAGCAGAGCAAGGGGTGAGCTGGTACAGTGCATGAGTTGATAAAATAACCTAACCTAACCTAACCTAACCAAATTTAACCTGCTGAAAAAGAAGAGGAAGCAAAAAAGACTTCAGTAATTAACAAACAGATTTTTTTTAAATACACCTAATGCTATAAAGCCGGGTCAAAAAAACGTTGGAACATAGATACCTTAAATTTGTTCAACATTACAGAAAATACACAAATAAATCTGTATTAATTTGTCCTAATAATACTAAAAGAAACTGTATATTTAAAAAAACTTTCATTTACAGGTGTTTTGCCGATTTAATTGTGAGTTTAAAGATCATGAAGTTCCTGCAGAGCTTATGCCTTTGGGGCCCTCAGTTAAGGAGGATTTGCTAAGTAGGATTAAGAGGTACGTACACTATAGCGTTGAGTAAGAATTAAGTTAAGGCTAAGGGGGTTTAGATAATTCAAGGAGGACTTTAAGTCTTTGGTGGATTTAAAAGGAACCACATGTGTGTTTATTACAATACATTATTTGCATTTATTTATTTTTGAGTAGAAACTTTTCTTAGCATCTTTAACGTAAAAGTTTTTGTATTTTTTGCAGATTAGCTCTATTTCCCGGAAGAAACGCACCCATCAATGAAACAGTTACAGAAATCTGCGAAATACTAAGAGTGGACAGAGAGTTAGTTGTGGAGATTGAACAGCTGATTAAATCAAAGAAGGAAATGGGGCTCACGCTTGATGAAATTAGAGTAAGTTTTCACAAGATAAATTCTTGTTGTAGTTCTAGATAAAAACAACTCATAGCTCCTCCTAAGTTAGTACACATACTCTAAAAGTATTATTTGTTATAGTTTGATAATAGATATCATGACGAATGTATTTGCAATCAGGAATCACTGCAAGGGTTTTCTGTAAAGGTCTTCAACCAATCCCTGTTGCAACAAAGCAAGCTAGTTCAAATGCCACACACAATAGCAATATGTCACCACAATTCTGGCAAGTTTTCACCTCTAAGCGTAACACATTTTTGTCTCCGTCATCGGAGTTTTTTTAAGAACCTGTCTACTACTTCCTTCTGAAGATGAGCCTTGTAGGGGTGAAATATCATATTAATTTTTTTGCAAAATTTTTGTGTGAACAGAATGAAATGGAGCAGACGACGATACTCATCTCCTCATACAGCAATGGAGATAATGTTCAGAAAACAATTAACTGTCAATTATTTTAGGAAATCGTTTTTGAGAATGCAGTTGTATATTTTGACATAACAGGAGTTATAAAAATAAAAAATATGATTGTAAGTATATTTGAACTGAAATAAGCTTTACATTCCAACCTTAAATGGACAAAAAACCCAAACAGCTTCATCCCCTTTATTTTGTTTGGTTGCGGTTTTATTGTATATTGATAATGTTGGTTGACAGGACATCTACGGTGTTGACAAGAGAGTGGCTGAGATCATCAACCAGCTGGTTGACTCGCAAGTCATCCTCCGCAGCGGAGTGAACAAAACTCATCTCGTACACGGAGAGTTCTACAGACCGTGGGTGATCCACTCCTACCGTCTGTTGCGACTGGATAGGGAGAACATTCCGGAGAATCGTAAGGCAAGCTGCGCGATGATGATGAACGTCGGTGAAAATGTCCCTAGTGATGAGACGACTTGTGCAGGTTAGAAATAAAGGCTTAAAGATACAAGTTGATATTTTCTTTCACAAATTGGTGGGGAAGTTTTAAAAAAGTGTTGGCTTCACAAATCTGATATCGTCCTTAGATGATCAAGTATTTGAAATAAAACTATTAGTATACATACCAAGCCAGCAAAAAATCTCCAAAAGCAAAAACAAATTAATAAGCAGTAAATCACCAAGGAATAACGACCCTGAGATCTTTTTATTTATCAAAATAAGAAACAAAAATTTCTCAAAGAAAACCATAATTGTACAAATAGAGGGTAGGGGAGAAAAAATGGAGACTACAATAGTTACTGTTTCTTGGGTCGCTTCCCAATTTTTAATAATGTAGTTTGCATGCAGTGCTGTGATATGGTTATACTGTAATCATGTTCATTTCAGAGCCAGTGGACGATCATAACATGCCTGGAGCAGTTGAGCTGGGTGATGATAACTTGAGCAACATGTCGCCTCCTCCGCTGTCCCCGCTACCCTCTCTGACAGAACCTACCCCTTCTACCTCCTACTTCCCCCCTCCCCTCTCCCCCCAACCCTCCACCAGCTCTGCACCTCAACCCCCCTTACCTGACCCAGCTAAGAGTGCCAGGAAATACAAGGCGAAACTGCTCACTGGAGCATTCAGAAAGGTCGAGAAAGCCACTTCTTTTGATGCCAAGTAAGTTTGGTTTGAGTATTTGTTGTTTTACACAAAACATAACTATTTAAATGGATATGTACTAGGTTCAAATCATTAATCAAATCAACTATAAGTTCCCATGTCACCAATGCACAGCTTAACTTCCAATAGCTTAACATATTTTTATGTTGTGTGTTTTTATGCCTTTTGCTTTTTAAGTTTTTTAAGGCCCAATCCGATTTCTGGGTTTATTTTACTATAAATTTATTAATTTATTGCCCGATGATAAATAACAAATGGGTCAAATCCAATGGAACCTCATGAAATAGAACCAGCAACATTTAGATTTGAAGGTGAGCACTGTAACTAGATCTGTCTCGAAATAAAAATTAGTCACCATCCTTTGTCCATATTTTGCTATTCAGTTAGACATATTTGAGCTAAGCTGAAACTTTAAAGCTTTTTTAAATGGTATAGAGTGTGTCAATTAGAGTGGCAAGCTAGATTGTCATACACACACAAGAACACTTTCCCACCACTGTTGCTTTTATTTTGTACAGTTATCTTATAAAATAATTTCTATTGGATTAATTATTAATTTTCATCCACTAGCATCTAGTGGTGTGACTGTCAGGGTAGTTGGGAGCCTTCCCTTATACCTTCCACACGTTATCCTGGTTGACATGTTAATTCATTCCTCTTGCATACCCCAAATTATGGAACCGTAAAAAATATTTTTTTAGATTTAATTTTTTTGATTTGTCTTAAAAAAAACTTATTAATTTTCTTGTGAATTTCCAGATCCAAATGCAACCTGAGGGTGTGTGTCCGACCGTGGATCAGGATCAACGGTTCTCTCAACCGCCGTGTGTTAGACAAGTTCCTTTCCTCCATCCTGGGCCATGTCATGATTCATCCTCTCTGCTCTCTGAAGAACATCCAGGAGCGCTTCACACCTGCCTTCCAGCCTCATCACACACGGGAACTAGTGGAGGTGAGGCCAAGGTCCAAAGTCACAGTTAAACTGAATGAAGTCGTGTGGGAATGAGAGTGTAAGAAGATCATTCAATAGCCTATTTGAAAAACATTTTAATCTACTTCATGCTTCAAAATTAGTTTTCTACACTGTATCAGTTATTAAAATAGAGGTTTTCCACCGACTTTGGAGAGGATGGATGTTTGTGAAGCTAGAATACACCACCTAGTAGAAACGTAGATGTAGTCCTAGATAGTTTTGCACTGCAGTTTTAATAGTTTGTGTAGCAAGAGAAAACTTAAAATCACTTCACTACTCCTAATATAAGGTCCAAACCCTTCATGTTTATCTTCTTTGATAACATTATGCTGATAATGAGATTTAAAGCAAAGGGTAAAAATTAATTGTATTGTAATGCTGAACGACTCAATGTCATGAAGACCGGTAACTGATCTTGCTGCAGCCAGACATCATCCAACAGAGGTACAAAGGTCGGAATTCATATTAGAAGACTGATTTTATGTTTTGTTACTATACATTTTTTTTTTTAAGTTGTCTTTTGGATTTTACAGATGTTGGCACAACTAAAATGCCTGAAGATTCTGGCATTGAAGCGATCTCACAAATGCACTTTGTTCTCCAAGCCAACAGAAGTGTCTGCAGGTGTGTAACACTAGAGCATTTGGTTTTGCTTTTCAGTTATGTGTTAAGTTTAGGTATTTAGGGAAAAATATTGACCCACAATATTTTAATAAGCCTGAAGAATGATAATTCTTAAGGTAACCAGTTTGATGAGAAAAGTCAATAGATTTTTATAGTTTGTAACTGTATCTACTAGCTGTCCTTGAACTTAGAGCTTTAAAAGACCAATTAAACAATCAACTAGTCAGTGGCAAAGCTACAATATACAGTTACAGAAGACTCCCAATCATCCACAATAATGAGTGGCTGAGCGATCGTAGATAATCAAAGTAATAAGGTTGTGATAATGCAAAGTTAGCCTAAAATGTCCGGAGATTAACTAGCATTATCTTTGAATGCATGGTTAAGCTTTTACACAATTTTAGCAGAAAGGGAAATACATTTTATTCATGTTTTTACAAAGCAAATAATATTGTAGAGCCTATGTAAAGGCCTAACAATAAGACAAGTTTAAACACCTCATTGGTTTTCATCAGTACGGTAACTGATTGGAGGTCAGTAAAGTAAACAACAGCTACTCTATGCTGCAAGATGATGGGCCTCATGCTAAACATCTTGACCAAGGCTGTATGAGGCTACGACTTGCATAATATAATTTGATCTGTTTGTGATCGTCGTTAATCCACTGGTAGACAATCAGGAGTCTACTGCAAGTCAGCACGCTCATCCCTCACCATTATTCCATGTATTTGTTGATTAAATATTTATTTGAATATAAACAATTCGTAAATCATTATTTATGTTTGGATGTCCAGTGGAGGCTACAGGACTGGAGCCAGAAGAGGATATTCTGCTAGAGCCAGATTCCATGGCTGTTAGCCGTCTGGCAGCCTTCATTGGAGATTCAGCTTATTCTCAGGTTATCTTCAATGTCGACATGGCTCGGAATCCATCTGAGTGATGTCAGCTGTATGAATTGTCTGTGATATTGATGTAAACTTATAAAACTTATTTGACTGAAAAATAAAACCAAAATTAGTTTTTTTTCTACTAAACCACTTTAGATAGAGACTTTGTATTTTTCTTTGTTAGTATGTTTGATTTTGCAGCAGTCTTAAAAATTTTAAGAGTGAAATCGATAAAGCCACATTGTAACATTAAAAAAAATGAGGTACAAAATTTGAAGGGGAGTGAAAGTACTGTGAGTTGACAAACACAAGGAGAAACATTGCTCTTAAACGCTACGTATCTTCTCACAATTTATGTTCATTTTTTATTAACAACGCTAGAGTGGTTGAACAGCATCTAAACTGTACTCTAGCTACTAATATTCTAAAATCATCCAAGTTAGCAGGCAATAATACGAGTCCAAAAACATTGAGAAACTAAGTACTATATTGTACAATGTACATGCAATGATAGGAGCATTTCCGGTAAAGAATACACATTGAGATCATAATATATTTCCTTTATTAAAATGGTATAAAAACAGTTTAAGCTGGACAAAACCTGAAACATGGGTTGAAATGCAAAACATTTTACATTCATATTTAGTAAAAATTCCTAGGCTGATCTACACAGTATTAGAAGTTGCATGCTAAAGGAACATTAAACGTAATGTAAAACACTGGAAGAATCTTAAATCATGCTTCGTAAAAACTATCTGCATTTACTCTACATTGGTGTTTTGTTATATCTAACGGTAATGTACAAAAAATATATAATCTGAAATTGTTTTGAGACATTGAATTAATCAAAAAGTACATTTGGATGAAATTGATTGACGATAGTGATGCACATATTTAGATGGTTCCTTCATAATATATATATACCAATAACATTTGTTCAGAAACACTAATTCTTTTTATTTAAGTGATAAATTGGAAACCTCAATCTGAGTGGATAAATTATGCCCAGCAAGTAATTTAATGAGATACACTTGAAAATAGTACAACCGCAATCTTAACGACTATTTTTGGACGGAATTAAAAACAAGTTTAAAGGGAACAAAGTAAATTCACAACTTAAATTTTATACAACATATTTAATATAAAAATTATGAAATTTTCTACAAACTGATTAGTTTACTGACAACTTATTTTGCCGAATAATGTTAGGATTTATTATAGAAAAAACTATTTATTAGGTCCAGTAAGTAATGAGCAAGATTTTATATAATGACTTTTATTTTTAAGTAATGAAAATGTTCCAAGAATAAATATTCCTTCTAAAAAAAATAACACCAAGAGTACTTGTTTTACCTTAGAATAATAATATAATGTAGAAGCATCGATCAAACCATTCTAGTCATACAAAAATGAATAATTGACTTTCTGTCTTTCAACTTCTGTGACAGGGTTGGATTCAGTCAAGATAACAACAACAACTATTTTATTAGAGAAAAACAATAATATTTTGTTACCGTCAAAGAAATTTATTTAAATTTTTTTCCAGTACTAATATACAGAAGATAATATTACTAAAACCTTTCAAAGTTAATATTTTCTGATTTCTTTACTAAAGCCTAGACTTACAATTCCAATTGTTAACAATTAATAAAATAGTCTATTTATTGGAAACACTTTAATGACTAGGTTACTCAGTTTAAAATAAAGCACAAGCAATCCCTCAAATGTAAACCACAACATGTTAAACTTATCTAGATCACAATGTTTAATTTCAGAAACCTCTGAAACAGTTTTGAAGAACAAAGTTTGACCAATTTGTTTACTGCAGGTTGTACTGAATTAAAAAAAAGTATTGAATGCACATTTTGGAAAATGATTAACCTAAACTAAGAAAAGTATTGCATTAGCATTGGAATGGATGAAAAATACTTAAATTTATTTTTGGCCTTTGACATTTTTTAGTAACATTGTGCATTTAACTAATGCAATTTCAGTTATACACCATGGTAAACAAAATTAACACAACCATATTAGGCCTCTATCCTAAAATCCACAAAACCTCACCAAACAAGTAAAAAATACAGAGATCATGTAAAAACACATAAAACTGCACAGCCACAATTAAAAAAGCAGGAATGGCTTAGCGATCTAACTACAGTATCACAATAATGTCTTATGTACATCGTAGTCGTAGGAAGTTTAAATCGGCACATTGTACTCATGAATATGAAAAAGCAGGCTTTTGAATGTTAATGTTCCATCAAAATAGAAAAAACATAACTTGATAAAGGCTTTGTTTATTAGAAAATATATATACATTGCTTTGCGTACATTCATGTACTTGGTTTTTATATATGAAGTTGTCATGTTATCAACTGATTTTATATTGTGAATAAAATAGACTAAGAACCTCGAAAAAATGTGAACATTACAGAATAAATTTGAATCATTCTGTCTAAAATTTAACCCTTACTTGAAAAGTCAAGAGTTATACCGGTTTTTAACTATTCTTAAAATTAACTGTGATCATAAATTTACAAATAACAGTCCTAAAAAATGCAAAATAGAATAGTTTATGTTAAGATCTGTGTTTTGTGACGTTAAACAAAAAAAAATGTGTAATATTTTTTTAAATTGATGTTTGAACAAATAATTGTGGAAATCAACAGTCAAAAGCCTGATCTACTTTACTAGCTATTTTAGGTAAATTATCAAACATATATACACACTACATAACAATGTCTAACATGAATAAAACCATTTCATAACAATAACAATGTATAAAATATTTCTCACATGAATGGGAGACAACCATGTGCGTCACAAATCTCGCAAACAGAACCAAAACAAACTTGTAATTGACAAAACTCTGACAGAGAGATACGAAAAAAGGTATAAATTTAATAAGTAGGTTAGGTTGGCTACATTCAGTGCAGTTGTTTATTAGTCTCACTCACTTAAATTTATCATAAAATAACTTTTCAGGAATGAAAAAACCAACAAAAACCTAGATTTGTCGCCTGGTACAAACGCTAGGTCAGTGAGTTTGGTCAGACTATGGTTTTTAATTACATTGATAACTGATGGTTCAAAATTCTTTTACACAAATTGACAATTTCAGCCTGTGCATATGATAGCCTATATTTATGCAAAGTAACAATCAAAATACTATTGTTTTGCAAGTAATTTTCAGTGAGCGAAATTCAAATTCGCTTAAATTTGACTTACAATCATAAAACACAAATAATTGTGATTTTAATGTGAAGCACCAAAATCATTAAGAGAAAAGATTATCTGTGAAATATATCAGGCAAGATGTATTAAGCCATAACATCATTAAAGTTGGGGAATGCTGAAGTTTTCTTGTGAAGTTAAACATTTTACACAATAGAATAACACCTGTCAACAGCAACAAATGAACCTTGTTAGCTATATAGGTACAAAGTATAATCAACCTTTAATAAGCCTTTGATCAATTCTCTCAGGTATAAAAGGAAACACATTGGGGTGAAATATAATAGGCCTACAGTTATTTACAAACTACGAATATAAACAGAACTCTGAGTGTACTATGAGACTTTATGCTTCTTTCTCTGGTCTCTTCTTCTCTCCATATCTGAAGACGGATGAGGCTTCAATTCTCTGTATGCAATCTGGAAAAAACGGATTACAATAAGTAGTAAGTTTCTTACATAAAAATCCGTCTTGCAGAATGTAAATAATCAGTTGACAAATCCTCATCATACATTTTAAATTTTATCAAACTGTCACACACCACACACACATACTCGCTTGCGTATGCTAGTCCAGACACCTGAATATTTAACCTCTTATCACATCATCAGGACTTTTAGGCCGAAGATTTGTTTATGTTCATTTTTGTGGGGATATTACAAATATTAACTCCACAATCAAGGTAGTATTGAACCTTAGGCCTTACCAGGTCGTCACTAGTCGGCACCCTAGATAGCAGGTCGAGCAGTTCGTTGTTGGGCACTGTGTGCGGCCGGATGAGTTTACGAGCGAACTTGTTCACTCCCCACCCCATGATGAGGTACCTGACAGGCACCCAGTACAGTACTACAGCCACCACTAGCAGCAGCGCCACTGACAAGTATGACAGAAAAGGGACAGTGAAGTTGAATGTACTGCAACAGACAAAGTAACACGTTTAAAACACATTCACTGCTAAAGGAAATTATAAAATCGAATCGTATTGCTAAAAAACTTTATTGTTGTATAACATTCCTTTTTGTGTCCTTATTGAAATACAATATTATATAATACGATCGGAAGTGAAAGAGTCAGAAAAAAATGGAAATGTTACTGAATACATTATATATGTCACTAAAAATATATGTTCTAAAGATATATGTAGTCATTATCATAAAATAACCAACATAAAATAGTATACCAATTGATTGGAATTGATTATGACTTCATAATAAGACGTCATATAAATGGGTTAGTGCTGACCAATCAAGAACCGGAGTATAAAAAATTTAAATATTAAACAAAAATTAGGGATATAAAAGATTTGAAATGTTAAATTTATTTAAATAAAATAGTTTAAAAGTTAATTGAAATTGAAAAAGATGTCATAAAGCACATAAAAGTAGCAAAGCGAGGGGCTTTCATAGTAACGTTGGTCAGTACCGACCCAGCCGCCTTGGCGGGAGCGAGACGCGGGAACCAACTCAACGGTGAACAAAGCAAGTTACACACTACACGCTAAGGTGGTATAGGTTCACCTTCGACCAACGCTAGGCTCGCACTGAGCAACAGATTGATGCACTGCAGTGTGCGTTAGTACTGACCCGGCCGCAGAGAACGTGTTAAAATTTTATGAATAAAGAATTTCTAAAGTAAATTATACATTATATAGGCAAACTCTTAGTTTCTTTGACATCATCTTAATTGAGATCATAACAGTAGGACGAGACAGCAAAATCAACACCCAAGAACCAGAATTGTACACCATAAGAACTCTAAATGATATTTCACCATGAGTATCTTATATTCTTACAAAAAACATATTATTATAGGGTAAACTAATAGTTTTCAAATTTAGTCATTACTTACTTTTTTATACTTTCACCTAACGAGGCAATATATCCTATGGAATTCTGTACAGTTTGGGTAACTTCTTGTATAGCTTGGAGTCTTTCCTTCAAGCTTTTCTTCTCCTCCTGTAACAAGTTAAAAGCGGAATTGTAAAGGAAATAATTACAGAAAAACCTATTTTTTATCATCAACTTCATTGATGATTATGGACTAAACTTTTATTATACGTTTACTACTGAGATTCCACTTTCCACATTGAATAAAATCATCACCATTTTTAGAATAAAGAGAACCTTGTTTAATTAAGCCACAATAGGTTGTGCTGCTGTAAATAGGAACTCCAATCGTCCGAATCGCCTCAAGGAGAAAAAAATAATTAGTTCAATGAGGCAGTTTCAGTAATCCGTTACATATATGTGTCCAAAAATTTTGTTTTTCATGTGGCTAAAGCCAAATTTCATATCAAGGGCAAATTTGTTTTGTAAATAATACTCTCTTTAGATTCACACTACACACAAAAATTGTAGTATGAAACACTAAGAGAGAGAAAATAATTGATTTGAGCATACCTACTCTATGAAAGGTCGTCTAACAATTTCCCCGCTGAGGAAAAATACTAGCAAAAACTGATCCATAGATGGAATGTCTACCTCTGTATCCAAATTCAATGGTTATAAGCTTTCAAAGGGCCATTTGAACAAGTTAATTTTTTTACCTTATCTTTGTCATCGTCATCATCATCATCTTCTCCCAGAGGTTCATCTTCTTCGTCAAAATTTCCCACTCCTCCAGTTAGACTTTGTACCTGATGAAATTACCAAATTTTAATCACATACCTCTGAATAGAGGCCCAGACAGTTGATATAAAATAATGATTCCCCTGGTAAACATGATATTTTTCCACCAATTAGACTTCTTTAGATGTGCAGAAGAGGAAAAATGTCTGTAAAAACTGGCTTAGTTCTACATTTTTTCTGTTACGGTAATCTTAAGGTTTTAAGAGCAGAAGTTGTCCTTGATTGTTCTGGGCTTGTAATATTTTTGGCCCTGACTGTAGGAACAATCCACAGCTGTTTTGGTAGCATGTCTTAGTAACAATCCATAGTCCAGTAACCTTCTTTCAAAATTGGGTTAAAATTTTAAAATACACCTTGATTGCTTTACATCTCATCATTTTGATATTATCTTGTCTAATAGTTTTCCATTATGTCTTCCCAAAGAGTTCATTGTTAAATAATTATCTTGTCTGTTATTATATAAGCTAACAATATTTCTTTAGAGAATTCACAAAAACTGCATAGTCAGACAATCAGCCACAATCATTCAGTGACACATCACCCTGATACGGCAATGCAATCGTTCCACACAATCATGTCAACTTCCTGGCTATAAATTTTCTAAAATTATTCATCCAAGTAAAAAATATTTTCTATAACGGGGACGGGTGGCATCGTCCTGTAATCCAGCTAGTATAGGAGGTTACGAATTGTGGATATTTATAGACCTGCACTGTGGATGCGATACAACAAAAATATATATATATGTATAAAGGTTTGGTCATATTACATTTTTTTAATTTAAAATTTTTTATGTAAACGGTTTTTATACCATAAATCTCATTATTTGTATTGTTCGGAGAAGTTTTTGAACCATCAAAATCAGTTAACGTATTATTTTTACTGTGAGTCTTACTTTTGTTTATAACAGACCATTATTATTGTTGTTAGGTATTAATTTTCCTATGCATGTGTAAATACTATAAATAGAATGCACAAATCAATAAATATAAGTTCTATTAACATTTCAACATACTCACAATATAGCATTTAAGAAAAACAAGCAGCATCCCCACTGGTATCATGAATGGTTGGAAATAATAACACAGCAGAATAAATAACACCAGGGCAATAACACTTTGTATTGTGGACTCCCACTCAAAACAGCTCCTGGAAATAGGGAAAGAAATAGTCAAAACGTCCATGAAAATTAAAGCAATTGCTTCTGAAAAATTATAAATGATTATTCCTCCTGTCGTTTTATCTTTCTTGCTAATAATTAATCAAACAATATAGAAACTATTGGTTTAATTTTTGAATCACCTTGTATGAGTTGGATTTTAATCAACATTATCTAGTTGTAACATCATTTTTTGTGATAATAAGAGTAGTCGAGGCTATACTCCTTTTAGAAACAGTAGAAACATGCAATGCAGCACAAAACGTCAGGGAAAAGTCTAGAGGCACAAATTTAGATACTACTTTTGTGACAACAGCCTATAAGCGCAGAAATTAACCAGTTTGATATCGAGAAAAAGTCAGTAGCTTTTTGATGGTTTGAAACCAAACCCAGCTTTTAACAATCGTTGGGTTTTTAGTGAATAATTCTGACAAAAGAAACAGCAGATATAAGTCAGCAACAAGGCCATACTCCACTCCATTTTACACTCATCCTGTATTTCACAAAAAGTCGTGATTACCATGACTAAGAAACAATAAATCATATAAAAAACATGAGCAGACGTTTTTCGTCAATAGTTTTGAAACTTTTGGCTTTTCACATTTTGTGAAGCATGCTGGTTTAAGCAAACTCATATGATAAAGACATCACTAGCTATGTTAGAAAATGTGTGGAAATGTTTAGGTAATAATGACGAAGAAAATGACTGGACAGACAATGCAGATAACCCCAGAGTAAGCAGACAAATGTTAGAAAAATAGTAAAAACATTTTGGATCCCCCTTAAGCAGAATTTACATTTACCTTTCAAGAACGGTTATATAATTGTAAAGTTGATACCTTCACCAAAAGAAAATGTCAACAGGCTAACTTCCTTTTCAATGTTACCTTATGTTCAATTTGTCAAAAAACCAATGAACTGTCCTTTTTAAATGTACGTTTTCCAACAGATCTAGCCCTGTGATAAAACTCAATAATCTAAAACAAATAAAACATAAAAAGGGGTTTTATCCTAGGTAATGCTAGGATAATATTAGCTCAAAATTAAAACCATAAGCTCAGTGGCAAAAACAACAGTAACTCAATTAATTTGGCAAAAAAAATTTGTTGCACATTTTGTTCATATAAACAGGTACCTACATGATAGTGAATAACAATCCCAAAGAGGTGTTTAACCATATTAACCAGAATAAAGAATGTGTTAAAATTGTTATGAAATACCGTGTATGACTACCATTGAACTTTTAAAAAATCTAAGAAAATTGCTTGAGGTATTCTTACTGTAGTAAATTTTCTTCTGAAATCACTTATATTTCACTGTTACTCCCAAAAAAAATAAATCTCAAATATTTGGACTTAAAAAAAAGCACCATATAACATTCATTTAATTTAACATATAATGATCAATAATTCAGGTTGTAGGCAACTCAGTCCCTCAAGCTCCCAAGAAATCTGGGTTCCCCAAATTTTGTAAAATTGTATCTTACTTATTCTGTGTGTATAATTTATATTTGAAAATTATAAATAACAAACACTTACTGTATAAATTTACTGATATCAATGAACCACATGATTATCGCTTTCAATCTCATAACGTTCCGCACAAACACTTGTCTCTTAAACTTCACTTCTGTCTGCATGTACTTCTCCTCTTTGGGGTTCAAGGTCCGAATACAAGCTCTGATCTATAACAGTTTGAAGAAAAAAAAGTAATATAAATATTAATAAATCTTGATAAACATTTTTTTTAATACTTAACTACTTACTTAAATACTTAAAATTATCAGACCTCTTTCCAGTCAAATATTATATTTGATACATATATTGACAAGTTACAAATCAAAGGAGTATAAAATCAGAAGAAAAAACAAACTGGATACAGGTGGCACTGGAGAGAAGAAGAAACATCATGATTCACTCAGTTTTATTTAGTCAATGGCAGTGATAAGACAGTGCTGGCCAGCCTCTACAGTTTTAATCAGTTTATCAAATTTTTATTACATTTTAATTATTTTTTCAACATGACAAATTTTTATTATTGTGACTGTGACAGTCTTTTAAGTAATCTATTGACATACCACAATGTATTAACACCTTGATGATGTGGTTGCATACAAATTACCTGACAAAGTTCTAAGGAATGAAACTAGTGGGCATGCGAACAACTGTGGTTGGATAAGGTAATTATTTTGTTTTATCAATAATATATTCCAACCAATTGTCACAATAAGTAATACAATGTTAAAAAGTTAATACTGATTATTCTAATATAGATCAAGACGGATGTGAATATGCCGGAATTTGTTCACTGCCATCTATAATAACAAAGTAGGAAAAACTCATACTCATCAGCTGATTCAAAAATTTACTAACGGAATATAAATTCCAACTGTGAGCTATTGCTTGTCCCTAGGTTACGTCCAAAGAATTCAAATCTGTAAAAATCTACCCTAAAATAAGAAATAAACATTCAACATCAGCGCCCTGAAACGCCGCCAATATGAAACGCATATTCATTTATCAGAAGCATATTGCATTTATCAAAAACAATTAACGTATCTTAACAAAACGTATAACGTTTACGTAAACGTTTAACGTTATTAAACAAAACGTATCTTAACTATCAGGTAAAAAAATACATTCCAACATCTTACAGGGTTCCAAATAACGTTCATCTCTAGCAGTATCTGAGGGGCGTTTCCTTTTGCCCTTCCGTAGAGTTTCTTGTCTTTCAGAGCGTACCAGCGTTTCTCTCCGTTGCGTATCCTCAGAAGTGGAATGGCAACTTTACCGAGGAACTCAACCTTGTGGTCTCTGTCTTCATCATAGACAGTGACCTCAAGCACCGAATGAATGTCTTTCACATTGCTGAAACAAAATAAAATGTGCATAATTGTGGTTTCTTAAATTATTTTTTGACATTAGATGGATGGTTAGAGAACTAATTGTTGGATGAATAATATTGGTGAGCAAGCTGGTCTAGTGGTAGAGCTCGAGACTGTGGTCCCGGGTACAAATCCTGCCAATCACCAATGGATTTATCCAAGTGATAATACCGCAACCATCTAGGACTAGCCTGAAATGTGTAAAACGGTTTCAGGCTAAAGCCTGCATCCTAGAATGTAAAGGTGGAACATAATAATTAATAGTGTCTTACAATGTGAAGATCTTCTGCCAGGAGGGTGACAAAGTCTTATATTCTGTTTGTGTTTGTAGTCGAGCGTTGATCAGTTCCAGGACACAGAATGGGTCGGACTTGCCCCCTAAGTCTGCCGCAGCGAGGCCTTGTGCTCGGTACACTCGTACTGTCAAGTGACCAACGTCTCGGATGTTGTGGAACGTTCTCATCAGTGCCTGCGGACAATACAGGAATGAATCTTATACTGTGTTATTAAAAAGGTAGGTAGTCTCCTTCAAACTTGCGTTTGCCCATTCAAATAAAGCTGTAGAATATTGTTGAAGATCTGTGTAGCGTTTTACTGACTAAGATCAGCTGTTTCTTCAGTCACAATCATTTATTTAAAGCCCTGATCAGGAACGGCTGGGTTCAGTTTCAAACCATCAAAAAGCTAATAACTTCTCTCATATAAATTTGTAAACTGTCTATAGATGAAAAAAAAACTCCTTGGAACAAGTTAGTTTAAGAATTAAAATATAAGGAAAACCTGTCCTGTAAACACCACCACTGGCACTGTTTATGGAGTAATATGAAAAGTATGTACACTAATGAATAAAGTTTCTTGAACAAAACTACCATTTGGTTGGTGGTTTATTTGTTATTATAAAAATTATAAATTGAGATTTTCACCATATATTTACATACTAGGGTAGTAGTGTAAAAAAAGAATGTGTTTCAACTTACATAGCGGTCCTCCAGTACGGTACGCTCGCGAGGGTTGTCGTCGTAGGTCGTCAGGTCTGATATCGTCTCTGACGCGGTGGTGCCACTGATGGTTAGCAGCAGAAAGATAGTTCCCGCACCTTCGTCCAACTCCTGCTTGATCCTGTGAGTCTTCTCTCTCTCCAATTGGCTGAGATCTATGCTACACCTTCAAAAGATGTCGAAATATTAGAGCAATTCAATATGTTATAAAGCAGCAAGACAGTTTTTATTTTTCTCCACCACTCATTACTCCATCACTAATTTACTCCATCATTCATTATCAAACCATCGCCTCTCACCTGCCCATGAAGTCGTCTTTGGACCGATCCTTGTCCCATACTGTCAACTCCAGCTCTTGGCTCTGGTCGTCGTAGAGATGAAGGTCAAACTGCTCAAGCCAGCTAGGGTTGAGAGTTTTGTAGCATACTTTGCTTTTGTACTTCTCATTTCCCAATCTGAAAAATATAGTTTTATATTTTGATGTGTACACTTAACTGACATTCTAAGACATGATAGATGAGTTATACTTTATTCCCATGAAATGAAATTGGGCTTCAAAATAAATTGGTTTCTTGCTTTTTTGGCTCCGATTACTGGCCAGTGTTAAGTGACATGATACCAAATGCCTCACCTGAACTTGACGTAAGGATCGCTGAATCCATCGATGTCCATCGGTAAGAGGTTCTTCCCCTCCACCAGAACAATCGTGACGACTGAACTCCAAATTTGACTCTTGAGTCTTCTGTTGATCTCCACCATCTTCCCACTTCTCTGGAAGTACTGCAACAAGTAATAAGTTGATGAACTTAGGTGTAGTCAAAAATATCAGCTAGATATAAATTAATTTGGTGAATAAGAGAGTAAAATCTTTGTTCCATAAATTATAGACTATTTTCTTAAGTTAAAGATTTCACGATTTTAGTGAAATCATAAAAAATAAGGCCAAGCAGTATGGGTCGCCTCTTTTTGTGTCTTAATTGTTCAATCTTGTTGAACTTGGTGTTGTTTGATAGAGAACTTTAAATGCTAAATATAGAGTGTTCTTGACAAATGTAAGTTATCAAAATAAAAAAATAAACAACCATTAAAAAATCTAGAGCAGTGGGCACCCGAGTGGGCTTTTCAATTTTAAAAAAAGGATTACAAACTGCAAACAGTTACTAACTGTGTCAACATAGAACAAATAATAGTGATTCACATTTCGGGCAATGATGACATGTTGACTTATGTCATAAAGTCATAAATATTCAGACATCAGCAAAATGTGTTATCTTACTTGTGTAACATTTGAGTTGAATAAAACATGTAGTAGTGAATAATCTGCGTTTTCGTGTAAATCTGTTGTTATTTAATAATACAAATTTTATATTGTAGTTACCAACAATATAAAAGAGTACTTCAAAAGTACAAGTTGCTGTTAGTTAGCAACATATGTCTTCAACAAAAGTTGACAACAACCCAAAGAACGCCAGTTTTTTTCAATAAATATTTTCAATTTTTACAACAGAAATTCAGATGTTCCACTAGAAGTTGGATATATGTTTACAGAAATCGTTTTAAGCTGTATTTACACTGGAGTTGAAGACGAATACTTAAAATTTCGTTTGCGAAGCCTTTAACGCAAGAGATACACGTTCTATACACGACATTTCCGCAAAAATGTGACTAGTTTGAAACCTATTCCCTATGAGACTTTGGGATTTAATAATTATAAATTTCATCAACGTAAACACAAAAAAATAGGCTATTAATTTTTACAGTAATTAAACATTTTACGGTTATTAATATAAGTGTCTTTTCACAAGTTGGAGTTCACTTTAGTTGAGTGAATGTGGAAAGATGGAGGAGGAAAGACACCTAAAAGCTTCACTTGGCAGCCGAAACTGTTGAAAGGAAGCTTCCAAGTGTGACGAAATCGAAGCGATGTCTTGGGGTGGCTTTTCTAGAGGAAGTGCAACCATGTACTCTCAAATGTTTGAAATTTATTGGACTGGACACAAGTTGGGTTTTTTGTCTCAATCCCGTAACAAGTTATTTTGTTTTTATTGATCCAAAGCTACCCTTGGCTATAAGAATAAACTGTTTACTTTGAAGAAAGTTTAATGTTTTTAAAAAGAAAAAACAACACTCTCCTGAATTACATAGAATAATGTTTACATAGCAACCAAGGTAGGTACACAATATAACAGTCTAAACCCCGGTCTTGTCACTAAACGTTAACGTTAACCTTTTGCTCGACGTCCCAAATTATTTGAATCTGATATGTTTTAACATTGTTTAATTGCAGCTGACTTTTAAGTTGTTATTATTATTGTTTTTGTTTTTACTAATTTTGACTCATGAATAAGTTCAGTTCTATTTTATTAAACTAATTTACCTATCAATTTATGTATTTACTTCAAACATAAAAGAATCATTAATTGATAGAACAATGACAAATGAGATCTGGGCCAGGAAATTACTTTGCTTGTGAACCTACCTTCAGATCTGAAGGTAAGCATCATGTAACCATTTGGCTACCCAGACAATATGAAATATAAGAACTATTGCGATTTGTAAAACTATATGGAGTTATAAATAGGCCAAGGCATAAAATAAGTGTAAACAATGTGCACCAGTAGACTACCTTTTCCCACATATTGCGTTCTTTAAAATTTGTCCATGGGTTGCCATGTTGTTTACAACAATTACAAAGGAAAATGTAAGCAAACGATCCATAGCAGCTGTTGACATAAACAAGTTACAGGTCCAACTACAGGTTTTTTACTTGGCAGATTACAGATCTAAATACCGAATATACAGTGTTTCTCTGTAACACCCCCTTCTCACCCGTTCTAGTTAAAACCCGATTTTACAGTTTAGATGTCATTTTATAATGTAACGGCGAGTTGTAATTGAAAAACAGCTATTTGTGTATTAAGTGTGTTGCCTCAAACAAACATTCACATCTTTTTTTTAAGGTGATGTTTTCTTAAATGGTAATTTTCACATCCAAAGTAATCAAAGGTTAAGTTACTGTATTATTTTTCTTGCCTCGGAGAAATGTTTTCAATTCTGTTGAATGAGCAAATTAAAACACATTTGTATGCTGGTTACGAATTTACAAATAGTTTTTCTCAGAAGGTTGGCCCACGGGTGCATTATTTAATATGATGTTACTCTTTATACAGGGTGAGTTTTAATTGTCCCCCCCCCCCCCAACTTTTTTCTACATTTTTTCAAATATCAATCCCAGACCACTTCCAAACATTGGGTAGTAAGTACTTCATTTTGACAAGGAGGTCATTTCCGGCCGCCATCTTGGATCCGCCATATTGGATGCAAATTTTTTTTTCAAATGTAAAGGTGGGGTTGTGACCCATTATTTCGAATTACATTTTTACCCTGATTACAATGCCGCAATTCGTTTTAAAAAATATTGATTCATTCTAAAGTTATGAGGGCTTCTTAAAACTTTATTTTTAGCCCATTTTAACATTGTGCATTTACAAACTAAGACCATAATCTCAAAATAGTGCTAGATAAAGATAAGTATACACTACCAGTAATTGTCGACCTATTTTCACTTGGTTATGATTGATGTATTTTTTCGGCCGCCATCTTGGATCCGCCATTTTGAAATGTGATAAATTATTTTAAATATGAAGGGGGTGTTGTGACCCATCATTTCGAACTACTTTTTTAAGCTGAACTTAATTCCATGATCCGTTTTTCATTTTCATTATTTTTTATTTTGAAATATTGCAATTTTTAAAAGAAAAATTGCAATATTTCATAAATAAAACTTGATAACGAAAAATGGATTGTGGCTTTGAGTTTAGCTTAAATAAGTAGTTCAAAATGATGGGTCACAACACCCCCTTCATATTTAAAATAATTTATCATATTTCAAAATGGCGGATCCAAGATGGCGGCCGAAAAAAATACATCAATCATTACCAAGTGAAAATAGGTCGACAATTACTGGTAGTGTATACTTATCTTTATCTAGCACTATTTTGAGATTATGGTCTTATTTTGTAAATGCACAATGTTAAAATGGGCTAAAAATAAAGTTTTAAGAAGCCCTCATAACTTTAGAATGAATCAATATTTTTTAAAACGAATTGCGGCATTGTAATCAGGGTAAAAATGTAATTCGAAATAATGGGTCACAACCCCACCTTTACATTTGAAAAAAAAAAATTGCATCCAATATGGCGGATCCAAGATGGCGGCCGGAAATGACCTCCTTGTCAAAATGAAGTACTTACTACCCAACAATGTTTGGAAGTGGTCTGGGATTGATATTTGAAAAAGTGTAGAAAAAAGTTGGGGGGGGGGACAATTAAAACTCACCATGTATAATATTAACTGTTGTTGAACAGCGCTGAAAATGTTTAAGGTTCCGCTGAATGTTTTACTTTGTGAAGCACAAACATATTATAAAAGTTTTCAAGGATATAGCAGCAATACAAAAGTACATTACACATTAATATAAATATTTTGATAAAATAAACCTGTATAAGTTACACAGTACAAATTTAAATCCATCCACCAATCTGAATTGTTTTTATCTGTTCTATCTTCTTTTAATGAATTTTAATTTGTATTCCCGACTTTTAGATACCCTATAAATAACTAGACAACTCTTGCTTCATTAGCTGTATCCTGAATGTAGCTTAGCTAAATAGCTTTCAGGCCTCAGAGATTACAGTAATTAAAACTTGAAGACAAATGTTCGCTTAGTTTCTTCCTCATTTTCAAAGTTTAAATTTAAAATATTCTTTTACAGTGTTGCTAAATGGGGCTTCCCAAGTTTTACAGGAGTAGAACGTCAAGACACGAGAACGTTATACAGGGTATTTTCATAAACTAATATATAGCCTTTACCTTAAATGTAAAAACAAGGCTTTTGCTACAAATGTAGTAACCTCCAAAACGGCCGTAGTGCAGTATTACCCCTAAGTTAATATATTTGTTGTATATATTTACCAAATGCAATCTGCCACACTCAAATAACGAGGTGTTTTAATATATATATTGTTTTTATTTTGCAACAGAATTTTATGAAGCTAGGTTAGAGATGGTAACGAAAAAAAATGAGTATTAACAATTTAGCTAATCAAATAGTACTGATTGTATTAAAAGTACAAGTGTAAGCCCAATTACATTTAAAATACTTTACCACAGCTAAACTAAAGTGGTTGTTATACGTTTCAAGTTTTATCGCCGTCGCCGAGAGAGGAAGTAAAACAAAAGATTGTATGTCTGAGGTCTTATAACACCCCTACAGGACTTGAAAACTTAAGAGCTGAAGCCTAATTTGGCGATGACTCTAACAAAAGAGTTTGGAATTAGTGGGAACTAAGGCTGTAAAAGGACTCTTTTCTAATGTAAAAGACAAACTGAAATTGCATGTTTTTACCTGATTATGATTGTATAAGTGCTTTCATTGATGTTTCAAATGACGTTGAAGCTATTTTGTAAGCTTTTTCTCGATATTTCATCACGAGAAAAAATTAACACTAACCGCTAAAAGTTAGAAGACAATTGTAAGGTTTTTTGTAAACACTTTTTAGATATTATATAGCAAACACCATAAAAATCAAATAGGAATTGGACAGTGCAATTTTAAATTTAATCTTGATGGAATTTGAAACGTACACCTCAATTATTTGACCTCGATTTGTAACCAAACAATACGCCAAGTTGTAAGTGTAGAAATGGCATTAGTAAAAACTGTTGTACTCATAAAAAAAACTTTTAAAAGTAAATAGAATATAATCTTTTAAAAATAT